GGTACCATTTTTACTTTAGTTTCTCACAGTTGTTCTATTTCTATTTGCGGGTCTATGTATTTTGTGATTTCCCCCCCAGTTCTTTCTCTTCTCTTCTGCTGTCTCCTGGCATCTGCAACATCCACTATCCGTTTTTCATATCAACAATTGATAAATCGGGGATGTTATGTGGCAGGTGCCTATAGGATTGAATTCTAAATCCCAGAGTACTTGAGCTTCTTCAGTTTCTATGACTTCGCCTATTTTGTGATCCTACCAGTTCTTGTTTGCAGACAAATGGCAGTTCCAATGCATCGTTGTTGCTACTTTGTCATGCTGTTGTTTGTAGTCTGTGCAATCTTCTTGCAGCAGCTAAATGCTGGTGCATTGCTTCTTCATCTTCTTTGCAGAGGTGGCACTTGTTGACTGTCTTCTAAATTTTGAGTTTGTATAATTTGTTCTTAAGACTTGGTCTTTTGCAGACAGAGTTACCTGCCCCCAGGTCCTAGAATGTGCGGAGATGGACAGGCTAACAATGGAAATAAAAGAAAGAAAGAGGAGAAACGGAATATTATTTGATTTGGGACACATGGTATATATTGGTTAGAGAATAGAAGTAAAGAATAAGAACATAAAAATAACTTAAGAGGTAATTTTAAAGTTAAAAGGTAATATATATAGTTATGAATAATGACACAATATATAGATATGTATATAAACTATTGTATATAAATGGAAAGGAAGAATAATGAAAATAATTGATACGTACTTATGAGTGATACTGGTATGGAGCGCTGTAAAGATTGAAAATGTGGTATAAAATGAAGAAAACTGTTCAATTAAAAAAATAATTTAAAAAAATATTTTGTATTCTTCACTTAATCTTTCTTGTAGGCCAGTTTGGTCTCTCCAGTAAACAATCAGCATTCATGGTATACTAGCTTCCGTACCTCTTCTTCAATGTCCTTTAGATATTCTTCCAGTGCTCTTTTTTCTTCTTCAACTGTCTGATGTACTTGCAATATTCCACTCTCACCTATTTTTCTGAATAAGTAGAGTCTGTCAACATTGCTGCGTGGATGAAGGGCACGAGTCATTGTCATTGTTTTTCTGCTTTTCTTATATAGGGCTTTTAGTTCTGCTTGAGTCCTGCTCACTGTTCCATCTGATGACTGAAAATGCCCATGTGTTAATTGAACTTTTAACCTTCATCTTAAATTCAGTGTGCTTGATGCTGTCAGTTTGAAGGATGCCCAAGTATTTGTGGTGATTGTGGTCTAGTGGTTAAAGCATGACACTAGAAAGCAGAAGACTGTGAGTTCAATTCCCACCTTAGCCATGAAAGCCAGTTGTGTGATGTTGGGCCAGTCACTTTGCCTCAACCCAACTTACCTCACAGAGTTGCCGTTGTAGGGAAAATAGGAGGAGGAAGAGATATTGGATATGTTCACCACCTTGAATTATTTGTAAAAATAATAAAGGCTGGATATAAATAAAATAATACATCTAAAAAGGTCTCTACTCGGAAGAAATTAAAAAATTGTATAGAGGGCCCAAATTATAGTTACCAGCAATTTAAAATAGACTCTGCATTGTCTGCATTGAGACATGAGAACAATGGAGATGATCCAGAATAGCTCGAATGCCACTACTCTGATCTAACAGCAAGGACAGTAGGAGATTATTACAACAAGCCAGGCACAAAACAAGCCAGGCACACACCAATAATGTTGCAGCATCCTCTGTCAAACAAGCAAACAAACAAACCCTGCACCTTACAAATATTCATCAAGTGAAAATTAGAAAACCCTAGTAAGATATTCCATCAACAGTTGACTGTACACTGTTATCAAGGCCACAAAGTACTAACAGCTGTGTCAATGTTATAATGAAATTGAAAGCTTTGATGATGAATCAAGGGAAGAACATTAAAAGTGCACTAAATATTGCAGAACCTTTGATGAGGGTGAATAAAACCTTCTTCGGATTGTGGGTTTATTTTTATCTTTTCCATCCCTGTCTGTGGTTTTTTTTTTGGGTCATCCTTGCCATTGTTTAAATTGCCATCTGATTAATTAATTGATTAATTGAAAAGAAAACAAAAACAAACAAAAACCTGAAAGGGCAGACTTGATGAAGCAGTGGGTCTTTTTCTGCCTTTAGTTTTCTGTGTTTCTGGTTCTGTGTTTTTTTACTCTTCATTTTGTCTATTGTTGCATTTTTTGTAACCGTTTTATTCGCAACCACCCAGAGCTGTGGGACTTGAGCAAAATATAAATTTTGATCATCATCATAATCATCAGAGATTACATTATGCATATTACAATTAGAAAGAAAAAAAAAACACACCTCCAAATCCACCCCCAAACTTAACCCTCCTTGTGTATATGATGTCATCCTATCACTGATCCTTCCCCCATCTTGGAAATGTTAAGCATGGTCCTGGTTCCCCAAGGGTTGTCCTTCCCTAATCTAATAGGAAGAAGACAGAGAACTTAGATCTGGCCAGCTGGGACATTGTATTCCTAACAGAAATCTGCTTGGACAAAGCAAAAAGCCTAATTAAAGGGCTATTCTTCGTTCCTTGAACTGCCAACAAGTGCAGGCACATGTTGTGCTGTTCTCATTGCCTATCGTTATTCTGCCATAGGAACACTTGGAGGCCATCCTTGCTGATTTAAAGTGGGACAAGGATTTGTCCTGATTTACGGAAAACGATTGGTGGAGTTCTCTGATTCATTTGTTCTCCTATTAAGCATCACCTGCCAGTGGAAAAACAACTACTAAGCACTTTAATCTAGACTCGGGCAAGAAAAAAGCAGGTGTTTAGAATCACACATTTGTTTTATTTATTTATTTGAGGTGTTTTGCATACCTCCTCAAATCACAGGGACTCTAAAGTTGCCGGATTATCAGATGGCAGATACAGAGCTATCCTAGGCCTCTGAGTTGTCAGTAGGATTATTTCTGAACTTAGTTTAGTGCTCTTCTGAAGCTAAACTTGTGTTTAAAATTAATCTGGTTGATGGGTAAACAGTGTGCTGGTCATCATGACATTAACAGATTTTTAAAAAGAAATACAGGTCTAATACTCTTTCAAAAAAGCTCTAAACGGATGTCTGCAATTGAGAGCTGTGGTGGCACAGTGGTTAGAGTGCAATACTGCAGGCTACTTCTGCTATCTGCCGGCTGCCTGCAATTTGGCAGTTCAGATCTTACCAGGCTCAAGGTTGACTCAGCCTTCCATTCTTCTGAGGTGGATAAAATGAGGACCCAGATTGTTGGGGGAAATATGCTGATTCTGTAAACCACTTAGAGAGGGCTGTAAAGCACTGTAAAACAGTATATAAGCCTAAGTGCTATTGCTATAAGGAATTTGCATAAGATGTGCCAAAGCACCAGTCATTATGTAGGCAAGGCAGCATTTCCGTTGAGCCAAGCAGAAAAATCACGAGAGCAATGACCAGAGGAGAAAACCCAAAAGTTACCAATGGCAAATTTCACCTTCTGGCCACATTAGTAACCATATCTTTGGTAAAATGAAGCAGATCGAGTTTGTGTCAGTGTGCCTTTTGGTTTTTGTTTTTTTTTTTATCCCTGGCATCAGTTTGAACTAGACCTTGCAGTTTTCTTGGCACAATTTTAGAAGTGGCTTGTCTGCTTCCTAAAAAGGCTGAGAGTGGAGAGATTTGTTCAAACTCATGAATCTGAAGTGGGACTAGAACTCATAGTTTCTAGCTTGATCTTTTAACCACTACACCAAACCAGCTGTCCAGATGTGCCAGATCATATCCACAGTCAAAATTGAGCGTAGAGAAAACTTAAATGCTGCTTTAAAACTGGAATAGCTAAGATGAAGGTGAAGCTATTTCAGCTTTGGTCTGGGGATTAGATGAAAGCAACATCATAAGGACATGTCTGTGGAGATTCTCAGTCATCCAGGTCCTAAAGGTGTCCTAAAGGTGCTTTTTTCAAGAGGCAACTGGACTTTCTGGTTTTTCTTTGAAGACGTTTCACTTCTTATCCAAGAAGCTTCTTCAGCTCTGGAAGCACCTTTGGAATGATCATAAGGACATGCTACCTTCATGTCATGATTGGGGGGGGGGGGTTCCTTTGAAAATCAGTCTTTGTGTTCTGTGCTGCCCAAGGATCAAAACATAGTATTTGAAATGAAGAGACTACACATGGCTTTTACATTAACGTTTGATGGTGGAAAGGAGAAGGTGTATCGTACATACCCTAGAGAAGAATGCCACCACTAGATTGTTCCATTCTTCCTTTTTCCCCCTAATCTGAAGGCAGACATGCCTTCAGTTTGCATGGAAATTGGAGCCTTCCTTAACCTCTAGGATGCTGATCTGGCTTATCCCAGGTGAATAAACAGGCGACTGTTTATTCATGTCCCTGTTTAGTCATATTAACATTTTATTTTATATACTTTCTTCTCTCCCTCCATTCCCTTTCTCTCTGACAAATACTGTACACCACAATTGTAGTTAATAAAATTTATTATGAAAGAAACTGAAGACTCTATGTTCCCACCAAAGGAAGCCTATAACAGACTTCATATCTTCATTTTGGCAAACAAGGACTTGATTGTAATTAGATTGATAGATACGTCCCAGTCCAAAGCTGTGGGGGTCTTCAAGTATATTTGCATTCTTCATATTTTGCACTCTGTTTTAAAATAGATTTAGACAGTGCAGAACAAACCGTTTATTTCATGAATCAGCCCTGAATCCAAGTGTGATCCACAGGAAGCCTTTTTTTTTGATGTCTCTGTGGCCATCTGTGGAATGAACCAGGAAACAATAACAAACAGAAATACTGTACTGTGTAAACTTTACAAGACTCTTACTCCTCTTACTTTGATGGTTTGCTGTTGGCTCCCTCTGCTGGCCATTTTGTGGCATGTTCTTAGAACGACAGGCTGTATAAACAGGATACAAAGGGTGGGAAGGGTGATTTGGATGGTATTATGGAAGTTATGCTTGATAAAGAAATGCCTCTTTGTTTTTCAGTGCTGAGGCAACATGTCACGCCCCTCTGCTCCTCCAAGCTATGAAGATCGAAATCCACTCTATCCTCCACCAGGGGGAGGGTATCCTGGAGGTTATCCGCAGCCACCACCCTACAGCGGTGGGTATCCTGAGCCTGGAGGCTACTCCCACCCAGGAGGGTACCCCCAGCCGTTTCCTCCTGTGCCTGCAGCACCTATGAATTTTGGTAATGCTTAGTTTTTTCCTTCTTTCTCTCTTGATAGGATGTGCGGTGTAATGAGTGGGGCAGTGGCAGTGGGAGAGAAGAGATAAAAGTGGAAGCTTCCATAATTGCAAGTTTTAAGAGCAGACAAGGTTAAAATTTGACACTCTGGTTTTATCTTTAAAAACAGCCATTTAGACATGCAGTAAAGATATTGAAAGGCATGAGACTGTCTGCATCCTATTCTAAAGTTTGCGTTAAAAAAAAAGATTAAAAAAAGAAAGTGTTTGGGAGAGTAAAGAAGGAAAGAACAAGCACGGTATAAGGAGCATATATATAATACGTCTGAATATTTAATTTCATAATTTTAACCCAGATTATACAGAATACATTATGTCATCTAGGGCTGTATCCGTTTCCTCTCCAATTACTTCTCTGCTTAAATTGCAGTGACTTGCCTTATGCAAACAAAGAATTCATCTCAGTTTACTGATTCTGCTTGCCTTGCAAAGCAGAGGCTGAAGTCCAGCATTGAGGAAATGGGTTTGGTAAGGTGGATTGGAATGACTTACATCAATCTAAATATGACTACACAGAGATTAGTTCATTCTTATCAACCTTTAATCGTCCAGGTACAGTTTCAGTCAGACTGGTTAAAACCTAGTGTTTACTACAGTATTCAATGTACTCTGACTAGTTTTAGCACTTTCTAAACATGAAACCATGAAGTAATAGTAATACATTTCAGCTTATTATTAGTAGAATCCAGGGTGTTAATGTAAAATTAAATATGATGCAACGTGAGTTTATATTTAAAAGATTTCGTATAGAGGTAGTTCTTGATTTACCACTGGTTATCTTGATGACCATTTGAAGTTACAACAGACCCTTCCCAAACCAACTTACAACTTGGGTCCGAGGTTCTGATGGCTGCCCCCCCATCACATGACCATCTTTGGGTCCTCATCAACCGGCCTACATTTTCAGGCATTTGTAGGTGCCATGGTCACATGACTTCATTTTACAACATTTTTGCCAAAAACTGGCACCATAGCAAACAATTTCCATTTGCTGAAAAAAAAATGTTGAAAAATCAGGTCACTTTATGACTGTTACGGTTTACAACCGACATAGGCAAGCTCCATTATGGTTATACGTTGAGGACTACCTGTAAAGATTTTACCTTCTTTTGTGAAGAAAGAAAGAAAAGTTTAGGTTAAAATACCTAGAAGTCTTTCCTAAGAACCGAAGGAATGACCCTCTAAATATACTATCTCTCAGGACAAAGATCTTGAAATAGAAATGCCTTTGAAAAGGGACCTTATACAATAAATTTGCACAGTGTGAAGAGAAGTTACAAGGAAAAAGATTCTGCAGCTGAGAGTAATAACTTGGCACTAACTAATCTTGTGATCCATGCGAAAGGAGCATGAGACAAATTAATCTGTCCTGGACATCAAGGAGTTGCTGTAGATAGAGTGAAGCTGTGTCCTTTGAATTATTACAAGCCTTTTATAGAAATGGTTATGTATACATATCTATCTCTCTGTGTATATGATATGCCAGTTTTGAAAATGCCCTATCATTTTAGGAAAGAAGAGCTTGCGGGCCTATTCTTCTTTTTCGTTTGAAGAATGGCATAAATATGGGGGGACACACTCTGGACTTAGTTTTTATCTCTGGTCAGTGGTTGAGTGGCCTTGATATAGGGGATGTAGATATTGAACCCTTGTCATGGTCTGACCACTCGCTCCTTCGACTTGACTTTCTGACTGCCGTACCCCGTCGCAGGGAGGCGGAACCGACCAGGTGGTTCCGCCCCAGGCGCCTGATGGACCCTGAAAGGTTCCAGATGGAGCTTGGGTCATTTCCTGAGACTCTAGCTCATGACTCGGCTGATGACCTGGTGGCCGCCTGGGATAGGGCGGCTGCCAGGGCTTTGGACCGGGTCGTGCCTTTGCGGCCTCTGACCCGGCACCGAACTCACTTAGCTCCTTGGTTTTCCGAGGAGCTGAGGGAGATGAAGCGCCGGAAAAGACGCCTAGAGAGCAGTTGGAGGGCCAGTCGTTCCGAGTCTGACTTGACACTGGTAAGGTCTCATATTAAGACCTACCTAGTGGCGATAAAAGCGGCGAAATCTAGCTATTTTGCCGCTCTTATCGCGTCATCAGATAACCGCCCAGCCGCCCTGTTTAGGGTGACCCGCTCCCTCCTCCATCTGGGAGCGCGGGAGGACCCCTTGCAGGGCCGAGCTGAGGATTTTGTACAGTATCTGGATGATAAAATAACTCAGATTCGGGAAGACTTGGCCGCCGACTGGGTTAGTTCAGACGAGATGACTGAGGCAGGCCTTGAGAGTGTTATCTGGGAGGAGTTTGATCCTGTGGCCCCCGAGCACGTGGACAGGATCTTGGGGCGGCTGAACGCAACCACATGTTTATTGGACCCGTGTCCCTCCTGGTTGGTGCTGGCTTCCCAGGAGGTTACATGAGGCTGGCTCCAGGGGATTATTAACGCTTCTTTGAGCGAGGGTGTCCTGCCGGCCGCCTTGAAAGAGGCGGTGGTGAGGCCTCTCCTCAAGAAGCCATCCCTGGATCCGGCTGTTTTGGCTAACTATCGTCCAGTCTCCAACCTTCGCTTTATTGCGAAGGTTGTTGAGAGTGTGGTGGCGCGACAGCTTCCCCAGTACCTGGATGAAACTGTCTATCTGGATCCGCTCCAGTCCGGCTTCAGACCTGGGTACAGCACGGAAACGGCATTGGTCGCGTTGGTGGATGATCTCTGGAGGGCCCGGGATAGGGGTTATTCCTCTATGCTGGTCCTATTAGACCTCTCAGCAGCTTTTGATACCATCGACCATGGTATCATGTTGCGCCGGCTGGAGGGACTGGGAGTGGGGGGCACCGTTTTGTGGTGGTTCTCCTCCTATCTCTCCGACCGGTCGCAATCTGTGTTGACAGGGGGGCAGCGGTCAACCCCAAGGCGCCTTGTTTGTGGGGTGCCGCAAGGGTCGGTCCTCTCGCCCCTCCTGTTCAACATTTATGTGAAGCCGCTGGGTGAGATCATCCATGGTTTTGGGGTGGAGTTCCATCAGTACGCTGATGATACTCAGCTGTACATTTCCACCCCAGACCATCCCAATGAAGCCTTGGAAGTGATGTCCCAGTGCCTGGAGGCCGTGCAGGTCTGGATGGGGAGAAACAGGCTTCGACTCAATCCTTCCAAGACCGAGTGGCTGTGGCTGCCGGCGTCCCGGTATAGCCAGCTGACGCCATCGCTGGTTATTGGGGGCGAATCATTGGCCCCCACGGAGAGGGCCCGCAACTTGAGTGTCCTCCGGGATGCACGGCTGTCTTTAGAAGGGCATATGACAGCCGTGGCCAGGGGGGCTTTTTGTCAGGTTCGCCTGATACGCCAGTTGCGCCCCTTTCTGGACTGGGACTCCCTACGCACGGTCACTCAAGCACTCGTCACTTCTCGTCTGGACTATTGTAACGCTCTCTACATGGGGCTCCCCTTGGGGTACACCCGGAGGCTCCAACTGGTGCAGAATGCGGCTGCGCGGGGGATTATGGGAGCAACGGGGTGCTCCCATGTGACTCCTCTCCTGCGCGAGCTGCATTGGCTTCCGGTGGACTTCCGGGTGCGCTTCAAGGTGTTGGTGATCACCTTTAAAGCGCTCCATGGCTTAGGGCCAGGGTACTTACGGGACCGCCTTCTGCCACCAATAGCCTCCCACCGGCCGGTTCGCTCCCACAGAGAGGGCCTCCTCAGGGTGCCCTCGGCCAGACAATGCCGGCTGACAACCCCCAGGAGGAGAGCCTTCTCTGTGGTGGCACCTACCCTATGGAACAATCTACCCCCAGAGATACGAGTGATCTCCGACCTCCGGATTTTTCGTCGGGCCCTAAAAACTTATTTTTTTCAGTTAGCCGGTCTGTCTTGATTTTAGGGTTAGTTTTAAAATTTTAATATTGACTTTAATTGACAAGTTTTAAATTATGGGCCAAATTTATAAATTATTTTAACTTTATTTTTAACTGTGATGTTTGTATAGATGTTTTTATCTTGGCTGTTCACCGCCCTGAGTCCGAAAAGAGACGGGCGGTATAGAAATTTGAATAATAAATAATAATAAATAAATATGCAAGGCCATGAAATCTTGTCTTTCTATGTCATTGATTCAGGAGGTGAGAGTGATTTCCATGCGGCCGATTGGGATGATAAGAAAGTCAGACACACTTTTATCCGCAAGGTAAGCTGAAGGCACCCGCCATGCACTGATCTTGTTGAAAATTGCTTTCTTGAATGCTGCTTTTGAAAAACTCTGGGTTCACATTATGGCAATATACAGACTTGTCCAGGGAAGATCAGTGTTCCAAATAGTCTTTGATACAAGTCCAAGATATCTCTACTTGTACTGGAAGATGAAAAACTGTGATCAGCAGGAGGGATCTGTACTTGAAAGCTTTGGGAATTCCTACTGGGAAGTGAAATAGGGTTATTAATGAGAAACACTATTGTACCGGTGTGCATTTGGGATTTTTTTTTTCTTTTGGTTTTGGATAACTCCTTTGCCCAAGTGCTTGTTCCAAAACCCGAAATTTCAAGAAGAAGCAGCTGAAGTATCCCCTTGGGAGGATAATGGGAGACAAAAATGCTATTTGAAACTGCATCCCTAGCTTTTTGTTTGGGTGAGCATGATAGGTGATAGCCATCTAGATTTGCATCCCTTTCAGACAGGGGTAGTCAATCTGCAATTCTCCACATGTTCAGTCCTACAACTCATACAATCCCATGCTGTTGTCATAGGACTGATAGGAGCTGAATTCCAAAGGACACCAGGTCATCTTTCTAGCATAAGAGAGAAGGATAAGAAAACTATCGTTTGCAGCCCAAAGGATTTATAGCCAATAATGTCTGTTAGTTTATATAAAAAAGGAGGGGTAGCAGCAAGCCAAATTCTCTTTTTCCATGCTGTTAGTATAACATTGCACATAGTTCTAAGGAGGCCCTTGAATTATAGTGGTATAACTGAAAAGCTATTTGACTATTTGAAGCAATCCATTCTTACACAGATACACTTTATCTGTTGATTCCCAGGTTTATAGCATTATCTCCGTGCAGTTGCTTGTGACAGTAGGCATCATTGCAATCTTCACCTTTGTGTAAGTATTCTGAGATCAGTTCTGCTATTCTCTGGCTGTGAAAGTCTGTCAACTATGCTTCCACATCCTGCTACAAACCATGATTGAGTGGAGGCATGTTTAGCGAGATAGAAACACTGGATACATGTGCATTTATGTGTAGGGAGGAGATAATTGGATAGTGACAGGGCCACCTCTGATGTTTGTCCAGAACGTTTTTCACCCCCAGGGCATCAAGTCATATCAGGTGGCAGCTGTGATTTCCCAGTGCTGTGTTCTCCTTTTTATTCTATAGGACACATCCAGACCAGTGGTGAAATCTAAAATTTGTCACTACTGGTTATGTGGGCGTGGCTTAGTGGGGGGGTGTAATGTGACTGGGTGGGCGTGGCCATTAAAAAAAAAACTTTTAAAACCACTTTTTCTACAACGAAGAGGTTGTAAAAAAATGCTTTCAAAAGGCTCTGACGATCCCAGCTGAGTTGCCTGATCGTCAGAGGCTTTTTTTCTTTTAAAAGCCTCTGCCGATCAGGCAACTCAGCTTGGATCGTCAGAGACATTTAAAAGAAAAAAAGCCTCTGCCGATCAGTCAACTCAGCTTGGATCATCAGAGGCTCTTAAAAGCATTTTTTCTACAACCTCTGAAGTGGTTGTAGAAAAAATGCTTTTAAAAGCCTTTGACGATCCCAGCTGTGCCGCGCGATCATCAGAGGCTTTTTTTTTTACTTTTAAAAGCATTTTTTCAACCGAAGAGGTGGTAGAAAAAATGCTTTTAAAAACTAAAAAAAAAAGAGCCTCTGATGATTGTGCAGCTCAGCTGGGCAATTGGGGGGAGGGAGCAGGGATTTTTGCTACCAGTTCTCTGAACCACCCGCCTCCATCGCTACCGGATCGGGCAATTTCACCCCTGATCCAGACCCACGTAATAGTAACTGGGTGGGCTCCTTTTGCTATCATTCTCATCGTTTGGCACCAACCCCTCCCATGTCATGGCACCTTTGTGCAGTGCATAACTTACATACCTGCTTGTGGTGCACTTGGCCAAGTTGTGTCTGCTTTCAGCATTTACTAAAATGTATTCTGTGATTAAATGCGGCTTCTGGCTAAATTTTGACTAGTGTAAGTTTGTTTCTGAAATTTTTATCATACATGGGAAACTATTAGGTTTGGTTTTTGGATTTGTTTTTTTAACTTGGGAGAAAGAGATTGGAAACTGAAGAAACAACCAGATATTCTTAGACTAACTTGGTGTCTGAATGGAGAGGGGAACAAAATATTCTTTGTTAAAATCATATCTAATATAACCACTGGTAACTTATTTTTTATGTGATTTTTCAATCTCCACAGTGAACCTGTGTCAGGTTTTGTGAAGCGTAATATTGCTGTGTACTATGCATCCTAGTAAGTAGCACTTTTTTCTCCTACATGCTTAGAGAATTTGTTTTATGCTTCTTAACTTTATAGCAGAATTGGGAAACCTGTGGCTCTCTAACAGTTTTGTAATCTCAACTCCCAGCATTTGTGCCCATTGGCACAAACTATGATAAACTTGCAGTTTAGCAATCTTTAGTGAGCTAGAGCTTTATACAATTTACCTGAATATTGGCTTATATTATGTGAGTTCATTCCCTTTGTACAGAGCGTGACTAAAGTGGTACATCCAACTGCCAAGGCTCTTGGTAGATATGAATGGATGTGTTCTACCATGTACACCTCATGGGAAGCTGGTTACCTCATGCTGGAAATCTTTGCCATACTCTATAATTTTCTTGTTATACTTTTAAGGCAATCTTAACTCCTGGTGACTACCTGAACAAGTCCATGAAATTGCCTTGACAACATTTTTCATAAGTAGCTTGCTATTGCATTCTTCCCCTGGCTGAGAGTGATGGCCCAAAGTCACCCCACTGGCTTTTTCCTAAAACAGGACTAGAACTGGCAGCATCCCAGCTTCTAGCCCAGTGTCTTTAACCACTACTCTCAGGCACTGAGATTTGGTAGGATAAAGTTAACACTGAATTTATCCCATGAAAAGGACAAGTTAGAGATGATTCTTTATGCAGATGTGTGAGACTTTTTCTATCAAAGACAAATACGTCGCACACAAAAAAGGGTTTCAGGAGCTTTATATAATCATAAACCATGTTGCAAATTTTTAATTGTATTTTACATAAGATAAAAAATTAAATTTGTGCTATTAGTATTATTATCTTCTGAAGCTTTGGTTGTTTAGGTTAACTGATAGCAGTAGCTGCTTTGACCTTAGAGGCAAAGAAGAATTTATCCTGCTTCTTCTATCAATTGATGTGGCTGAAAGATTTTCTTGAGTTTTTCACAGTAATTGTAAAGGCACTTTTTCCCCTTAAAAACCCTTCTTGATATCTGGGAAGAGCTGGTGAAAATTGGATGAACCCAGTGGTGAAATGTAAAATTTGTTACTACCGGTTCTGTGGGCGTGGCTTGGTGGTGGTGGGTAATGTGACTAAGTGGGCGTGGCCAACTTTTTTTTTTTTTTTACTTTTAAAATCATTTTTTCTACAACCTCTTCGGCCGAAGAGGTTGTAAAAAAATGCTTATAAAAGGCTCTGACGATCCCAGCTGAGTTTCCTGATCGTCAGAGGCTTTCTTTTCTTTTAAAACTTCGAAGTCTTCTAGTCCCAACACCTTCCCATGCAGGAGACCCTGACAAATGACTAGCCAATCTCTTCTTAAAAACGTCCAACCCACAACTTTTGGAGGCAAGCCCTTCCACTGGTTGTTCTTGTTGTCAAATTTCTCCTTAGTTCAAGGTTGGATCTTTCTTTGATAAGTTTCCATCCATGATGGAATTACTTTTTTTTAATTATTATTTATTTATTTATTAAATTTATATACCGCCCTACTCCCGAAGGACTCAGGGCGGTGAACAGCCAGAAAATAAAATACATATAATACAAACGTTAAAAACCATTTAAAATACATTAAATCCTTTGGCCCAAAAAACAAATTTAAAACACCCCAATTTATAAGACAAATTTAAAATTTAAAAAAGCAATTTAAAAGAGAGATTAGGCCAGACCTGCCTACTGGAATAGGAATGTTTTGAGGGCACGGCGGAAAGCGCGCAGATCCGGAATCCTCCGTATCTCCGGGGGGAGCTCATTCCAGATGGCAGGTGCCCCCACAGAGAAGGCTCTTCCCCTGGGGGCCACCAGTCGACACTGTTTGGCCGACGGCACCCTGAGAAGCCCCTCTCTATGGGAGCATACTGGTCGGTGAGAGGCTACTGATGGCAGAAGGCGGTCTCGTAGATACCCCGGTCCTAAGCCATGGAGCGCTCTAAAGGTGGTAACCAAAACCTTGAAGCGCACCCGGAAGACCACCGGGAGCCAGTGCAGCTCATGCAGGAGGGGAGTCACATGGGAGCGCCACATCGCTCCCATTGTCCTGCCATCAGGTGCTTTGGAGAATAGGTAGTCCTCTTCTTTATGACAGCCTCTTAAATATTGAAAGACTGTTATCATGTCACCCCTAGTCCTTCTCTTCGGCAGACTAGACATACCCAGTTCCTGCAGCCGTTCACTTGACTCTGTGCTGTAGCCAGTCACCCACAAGTGATGGGATAAAGCTAACATAAAAAAATATTTCCAGAGAATCCTAACTCTGCTGAGACATGCAGGATGCAAAGAAAAGCACAGAGCACTTCTTGATGATGAAGATGCAAGGCAAAGTGCTCTCAAGTCCCCTGATAATACCACGATATAGAAGACTTGAAGAATGATTATCCCTGGGCTGGGCTTTTTCATATTATAGTCTTTGTGTTTTTGCAATAGAGTGCCAAGCTCTTACCAAGGATGTATTGAAAATAATATAATGCTTGTTTCATTTTCCCAGTGCTGTATTCCTGGTCACTTACCTGGTGCTGGTGTGTTGTGAGGGACCACGGTGAGTTAATGTTAGATATATTGGCATTTTGATTTGAGTGGGAATCAATTAACTTCACTTGATTTATGTTCATTGATCAATACTTTTTGATATAGATTGACATCTAACAGCAAAAATTGTAACATGTGTCTTGTGTCCCCTTGAAATAATCCTATTGCTGAACTGATTTCATTTTGTTGACTTCTTGCAGGAGACGTTTTCCATGGAATCTCATCCTTCTGTCTATCTTTGTAAGTGAATGCTTTTGTTGTGAATTTTGGCTGAAATTACATGAATTTCTCTTTGGTAGGATGGTTGGGTTTTAAAAGTGTTTCATTATTAAGTCATTGTTTTGTCCTCTTTTTGAACTATTGCATTGTGCTTTTTTGTTTCCCATGTATCTTTTCAAAAGTGCAAATAAGGTCAAATTGAGAGGTTCAAAGTTGAAATCAAAGACTATAGTGTTAGGGCACAGAGCCAGTCTTGGCTTGAAAGTAGGATGAGATGGATAATGTAGGGTGATGAGTTTTTGGCATTGAAATGGGCAGCAGTAAAAGTAAGTACTATGGAATAAAAAGGTCATAGAAATGTTGGTTTGGGGCAAAAAAGAATCAGAGGTTACTAATGGTAATAAAATTCAAGGATAACACAAAGTTACCATAAAAACAAACAAAAATCCATAATTTGAAATACACACTGAAAAATAGTAGCCATCAGTCAAGAGTTGCTTCAGGATAGTAGTCAGCATAGACATCCAGTGTCATCTTGGATAAAGAGATATTTTCCTGCACATACAGACAAAGGGAAACATTTAGCCTGCCATTTAAAATCTGATGTTAATAAATCAAACAGACTAGATAGTGGAAGCCAAGATTACTGGTGTATATGTGTGCATATGTGCATGGGGACCAGCTGGTCATCTTCTTTTTCTTCTTCTCCGTTAGACACTAGCGATGGGATTCATGACAGGCACCATTGCTAGGTAAAGTACAACAGTAGTCTATGTTTATTCTGCTTCTGTCTCCTCAATTAAGCTTGCTTTCTGTCTAAATATTTTGAACGTGTACTTTGTGGAAGGCTATCCAATACTTCGGTGAAGAAAACAAACCTCTGTTTTGGGTCCCTATTTATTTTATTTATTTTATTTTATTAAATTTATTTAACCAACATCTTTGTTATAATTGTATTCAACACTTCCCTAGCAATTCAGTTTTTAGAAAATAACTTTATTAAACAGATGCTTAAGGGAGAATTGTAGATAAAATGATGCCCCCTTTTGATATATAGGGAAGTCCCATTTCCACAACAGCTCTTCCCTCATTTGTATCTCTTGGTTGACTGGGAGATGATACACACACTGTTACTAGTGTGTTCACTTCCATTTTATCCAAAACATTTGAAGACCATATGGGTCTTATCTTCAGATCTGCCAGCCTTGAAAACAAGTGGAGAAAAATCACTTTCCTGATCTGAGATGCTTCAAAGGGAGCTTCTTTCTTCTCTTTAGAGAATAAGCAGGCAATCAGCCCGGTGTTTGCAGGTTCAAGGCTTCCATTGAAATTGACTAAATCTTGTTGATGCCACCTTGTTCCCTTTCCTGGGAGTGCTGAGAGGAGATGCCCCATCATCTTTAAAGGGTTAATGAGGATGGCTGAAGCAGGAGAGCCTGGGATGAAGGGAGTGAAGCAAGAGTTCCTTCCATCCCAGACAGCTATAGCATTTTCAAATGCTGAAAACTGGCTGCAGAGCTGTTCTGCTTGCATAGCAGCTACACAGAAGATTCTGTGTAGATTGTGCTAGGCTGCTGAAGAGGTAATGTGTAAGATCACAGAAGTGTGGAGTTGATCCAGGAGTGAGGGAAGCACTTCATGGAGAAGTGCCTTGATCATTGTTGAAGCTCAGGGTATCATTCTGAAGTCATCTTCAGACAAACAGTTACCTACAGGTTCTATGGCACAAAAATAGGGATGTGTTTATATATTAAGCCATCCACTCACTGATGACTCAAGCTGGCTACTAATGTTAAAAGCAACAAAGAACCAAATAATCACAATCCAGGGAAGAAAAAGAAAACAGAAAAAAAGAACATGTGCACATCTGTAGCATTGAAGTCAAAATTCATTTCACAATTCATTATAACATTCTGGGCCAATCGGTGGAGGAAGAGCCAAGCCTTAGGGGGCTTTCTAATCACCAGCAGGGTTGGACCATTCAGATCTCAGAAATACTGTTCGGCAGGACAGAGACGGCATATTTTCTAGGTCCTGTCAGATGGTACTGTTTAACAAATAGGACCTAGAGCTATAATGGTGAACCTATGGCACGTGTGCCCGAAGTGGCCCGCAGAGCCATGTCGCCTGGCACGCGCGGTGTCACCCGTTCCTCTTCCAGGTTTCTGGAGCGCATGTGCGCGCGATGACCAGCTGGCCTTCGTGCGTGCGGCAACGCTGGAAACTGAGCGTGAGCATGTGCGCTGGCCAGCTGATCATCGCGTGCACATGTGTGCCAGTATCTGGAAGACTAGCTGGTTGGCACACATGTGTGCACCGCAAACTGGAAGTTCATTTTCCGGCGCACACATGCCCCCTTCGAAGCTCCTGTTCTGGGTTGCGGGCCAGACGAGTGCGCACATGCGCGCGCTCCCCTTTCGGCACTTGGTGCCGAAAAGGTTCACCATCACTGACCTAGAGCATGCCAATCCCGTCTAATATTGTTAGGCGGAGACAATCTGCAATAGAGCCATATTCTTAAATTCTGGTTCTGTGTGAGATTTTGTAGATAACAATCAGCACTTTGATTTTCAACTTAAATTCTAACAGTAATCATTGCAGTTCACAGAGAATTGGTATTTTGGGAGCTTACCTTACTGCTGCATTCTGGATTTGTGTAGCTTTCAAGTGGTCTTCAAGGGCAGCCCCACATAGTGTATTGCAGTAATCCAAGCAAGAGGGTACTAAGGAATTCTACAAAGAAGCTCTATTCACAAATTGAATTGCATATTTCATATTCCACCATGCATATTTAATCAGAATCAGGATGTAGATGAAAGAATTTCAGGTACCCCAAACTGAACAAACCACTTTGGCTAAAGTGCCATTTTATTACTATACAGTTCCTTCGATAACTAACTAATTAAGAAAACAGAACCCCTGAAATTATCATGTGATGAGATTATTCTATTTAACTTTTTCTTTGCAGCATGTACTCTACCAAGGCTGTTCTAATTGCTATGATCATTACAGCGATTGTGGCCATAATTGTTACCATCTTCTGTTTCCAGACAAAGGTGAGCAAGTATCTTTCTCTGAGGCAATGTCAGCATGGTTTGATGATACATAGATTGGATTCTTCCACTGTGACACCAAAAGTTTCTTGCCTCTTTTTGACAAGTGAAGCTTGAAAATCTATGCTTTGGATGGGCTGTTTTGTTTCAGGCTCCAAAATGGTCATTTGGATCTTAAAATTTGGCTGATTCAAAGTCGGAACCTTTGTGCCGGAGGTGAAAGCTCAAAATGGCTCAGATTCAAGGATTTCTTACACTTTTATAAAACGACTATGCAAAAAAGGCAGCCGTCTTGTATTTCACAATATACATTAAATATAACTATCAATGAATATAATCCTGGGCATATGTTTAGTCACAGTAATATAGAAATAATGAGAATACTTTCCAATAGATTTTCTCAATGTTCATCACGTTCATAATCTTCTCAATTTGAAATAATATTTAGCAGGCATAGTAAAATGTGTATGAAGTATTTATTGTATTATGTATTTTTTTTTAAAAAAAATTCCCATTCCTTCCAAGGTTCTTACATAGTTTCAGTGTTTTTTTGAAAATTATTGGTTGCATAATACATACGAGAACAAAAACGTACAATTCTTCTTCCTGAACACTTTGCATTTTGTATACCATTTCAGTATGGTGTTAATGTGTCTATGCATATGCTTGGGCACATTTTACATAATGGGGGTGGTGAAGCTAAGGAGTTTCCTACAAGGGGCACTAATACTCTGTGCACAAAGGGTGACCTGCTATGTGCCGAACTTCTCCCAAACCATGTCTTGTTTTCATTGGCAGGTGGATTTCACATCCTGCACTGGTTTGTTCTGTGTGCTGGGCATTGTTGTCATGGTGACTGGAATTATCACAGCCATAGTCCTGTCCTTCAAATACGTAAGAAATTATTGATAGAAATTTAGTGGGTTTGGGGTCAATGGTCCTTTTAGATCAAGGGTCTAAATTTCATTGAGGGCCACATCAGGGTTGTGTTTGATCTTGGGAAGAAGGGTGGGCGTGGCCAGTTCAATGTCACTCGTGTCGGTGGCACCTATGATGGCCCGAGCACTCTGCCAGCAAAAATGGAGCTTGGGACGAGCTCCATTTTTGCTGGCAGAAGGCTACAGGATGGTGTTGCAGCCGAAAATGAAGCTCGGGAGGGCTGCACGGGCCAGTCCTTTGCTGTTTCCAGGGCAGCCCCGGGATACAGATCTAAGCACCCTGCGGGCCAGATCCGGCCTCTTGCTTCTGAACTGGGATTTAGTTTCCAAGTTCATCTTCTCCTGTTTTCAACAGCTCAGTCTAACCACTATGATCCCCCACAGTATGGAGATCAAAACAACACAGATTAATAATAAATAAAGATTATGATTAATAAGTAAATAAAGATTAATGAGTAAACAGAAGCATATACTATTCCCCACAGTAAGGAGAAGCAAGAGATGGTTAAATCGACTCTTTTATCCAAAGCAGAGAATATATTTAATTTTGTTTCTATTTGGAAATCGTTTCCGGATTTTATGCTTGCACTGACAAAAAAGAAAAACTTTTATTTTGTTTTTGCTGATTAGATAGGTTTGTTGCTATAGAAATGGCTAATATATATTGTTGTGTGAAAACCTAAACCTCAACCTAAAAAGTTGAGGTTGTAATGTTATCTTCTACTACGCTAAAGAGAGTTGGAAGTCGGTGCCTTTTTCTTACTTTTTTCTTCTTTACACCATATTTTCTCTTTTTTTCTTTTTCTCTCCCCCTCAGTTTTCTATTACTTTTTAAAATTTGGTAAACTAATAAAAATGTATTATTAAAAAAACAGCAGTCTCTGTATCTATTGCTCTGAGAGAGCAGTCTTAAGAGAGGACACGGAGACAGGATCTATTGTTGAGTAATTAATAGCCCTAAACTTTTGTCTCTTAAAATGAATGATGAGTTGATAACGGTTTCCTTCTTCTATTATTTATGCTGTAGTTTGGAAAAATCTGTTGTTAGAGTTAATTAAACCCAAACCATTAAATACATGTAGATCACATTCATTTTCTTTTTCTTTTTGCAGGTTCCTTGGCTCCATATGCTCTATGCATCTATTGGTGCAATCGCCTTCACCCTGGTTAGTAGGAAGTTGCCTTCTGTAGACTTAGTTACCCATCCTCTGTCACACAAGTCTAAAATTAAGCAAAATATGTGCAAAACTAGAATTATAATTGAAATCATAATGCTGTTCTCTCTTGAAGGTATATTTTTACTTGGGTCCATGGATGCCAAGTAAATCCAGTAGAGAAACTAGATTGTTTTTATAAAGTTTATAGATGATCTCTGTGAAGACTGTGTGCTTACCTTTATTTAGAGAGGTGCTAAATAATATCTAGAAATGGAAACAGGGATTTGGAACTATGGAATGAATCAATATGTTGAGATTACAAATAGACCTGGAATAATTTTCTTTTATTACTCTTTGCTGCATCTACTCTTTGCTGTGTAAATTAAATCCAAGTGCCGGAATAGTTAATTCTTGATTTATTTTTACAAGACTCTATTTTTGGCTTCAGAATTATACTATTCCCAAGTGTCTTTTGAAAATATTTTTTATCCAGTTGTAACTTTCCTGTTGTCTTTAAAGGGATTCATACTTGTTCTCTTCTAATTATTATATTTTTGCTTGTTTGTTTGTTTTTGAGCATTTTGTAAAAACTTGCATTTGAAATTTGGAGGAATGGGGAGGGCAGAAGGGAAATGGCTCTTCTTTAAAATCGAATGGAAGTAAATATGGAGAGAGAGAATAATTTTTGAAAACTCTTGGGTAGATTTAGGCATCTGCTCATGCCATTGTGCATCCTTTCTGTTTGTGAACTACAGATATTGGGATGCGTTTCCTTCTTTCGGGATGCAGCTCTTGGGAAGGAAAATGTTTTTTATTGTTGAATAATTTCTTGCTCCTTGTTATTAACTGCTACCTTGTGGCTTTTTACAGTTTCTTGCCTATGATACCCAACTGGTCTTGGGCAACAGGAAGCACACTATCAGCCCTGAGGAGTACGTCTATGGAGCCCTCAAGATCTACACAGACATTGTTTATATCTTTACCTTCCTCTTGCAGATTGTGGGCAGCAGAGATTAGATGGATGAAAATATTTAAGACTTTGACAATCTTCCCCAGAGATCAGGAAGTGATACCTTTCTGGCTCTAATGTACTGTTACGTGCTTGCCTCCAGTCCATATATAAATGCCAAGAAAGGATTCACAGAGTGGACCCAGAAACATAATAAGGAACCATATATTGTATTCAGTGAGATATGGATCTTAATCTTTTTGTTTGCTTCTGTATTTCCACACATGGCACATCATTCTTTAATTTGTGCCCGGGAATAATGAATGTAGTATGTATTACCACTCTGATATGATGTATTGCAGTCTTTCAACTTACCCATTTATTTGTATTTTTGTCAGCCTTTAAGGTGCAGACGATTCTTCTAATTAAAAAAATCTATTGTTACAAGGCTCTTATTACATAAGTGCAAATAAATATATATATATTTTTGAATTAAACTTTCATGTATTTATGTAAGGAAGAGGTTATGTTGCTTACCTGCTCAACCAGGAATGTGGTCCTCTAGCAATCATCTGAATTATCTGAAGGAGAGGTTTATTTACCTTGCCTTGAAGGAAGAATTTACTGTGTGATTGGAAACCAGAGCTTATTGAAGTCCTTATTCACAGTTTAATTTGCATTCAAGACAAAATGAGTATAGCCACTCCTTTGTCAGCTTATATGCAGGGGTGGGTTCTACCTACCTTTACTACCGGTTCGCTTGTTTCGCTCGCGCGCGCACACACTTTTGCGCATGCGCAGAAGTGGTATGATGATGTCGAGGTCGGTGGGCAGAGCCTCCCGCTGATTTTACTACCGGTTCTATAGAACCGGTCCGAACCGGGGGCAACCCACCACTGCTTATATGGCAACATTAAGAACTGAGGGAATTGGAACAAGCAGACATAGCCCAATGTTTTTTAGGCAGATTTAAATTTTTGCTCAGGCATATTCCTGTTTACCTATGATTTTAGCTTTGTTTAGTGCTGAGCATAATTCTTAAACAGTCCTTTTTTACTGGAAAAAGCTGTTTTGGCCAAATTCCCCCCTCTTCCTTGCTTTCTTTTTTTCTTCCTCATTGTTTGATATGGTACTTATCAACTTCCAAATGGGACGCGGTGGCTTAGTGGCTAAGACACTGAGTTTGTCGATCAGAAAGGTCGGCAGTTTGGCGGTTCGAATCCGTAGCACCGCGTAATGGAGTGAGCTCCCGTTACTTGCCCCAGCTTCTGCCAACCTACCAGTTCGAAACCATGTAAAAATGCAAGTAGAAAAATAGGGACCACCTTGGGAAGGTAACAGCATTCCGTGCGCCTTCGGCATTTAGTCATGCCGGCCACATGACCACGGAATCGTCATCAGACAGCGCTGGTTCTTCAGCTTAGAAACGGAGATGAGCACTGCTCCCTAGAGTCGGGAACTATTAGCACGTATGTGTGAAGGGAACCTTTACCTTTACCTTTACTTATCAACTTCCAGAGTCATCTGGCAGGGTTCTCAGTCTACTTGTCTCACCTTGATTAGCAAAGTGGATTGTAACCAAAAGAAATCAGGAAGTGAGCAAACAGTATCATCATGGCAAAGAAGTGGGATTCGGGATGGTTTCAACATTCCTCCAAAACCTGGAACTAACATTAGTAACTGGATTTTAAGAGATGCATGTGAAATGATTCTCACTGGGATGCATGTCATAATCATAAATATGTGGTATGTCATTTTCTCAAACTATAGGACAACTTGCAAGTTTCCATTAAATGCTAAATGGCTACATCAACGGGTTTTCTGACCAGCAATTTACTGCATCAAGTTTTGACTTTTTGCCTTTAAATAAATCTTTGAAACCGTAGAGGGATAAATGTGGAATAAAAAGCAAGGGCAATGGAGAACAAAAACCAAAGTCTTTAATTTCATAATTGTTTCAATTTGTACACTGATTAGAGGCTTTAAGCACATGCAATTGAATTCTTTTAACTTGACAATTTACCATCAGGTATATTCCATTTATATTAAACCCATTTTGCTAAGCAACACATTTACTTTTTTATCCTTTCCACTTCATCCCTCCCTAACTTGGCTTTTAAGATGTTTTAAAAAAAATTTGGAAGATTGAGATTTGGACAACTTCATAACCATGAGCTCACTGAGGGGCCCAATCATTCTGCCTTGATCAAAAAGCTTCAGATCTGAAGAAAACCCTACCAATACAATACGAAGAAGGTGGGGCCTAGCTAACTCCTTCCTATACAGCAGTGGTCCCCAACCTTTTTATCGCCGCGGCCCGCTGAGCGCGCGCAGGGGTGGGGGCACGGCCCAGGAGCTTTTGCGCACGGCCCATTGCGCACGGCCCAGGAGCCTTTGCACTGCAGCGTTCATGTCCCCCGGCCGCTGCGTGGCCCGGTGCCAGGTACTCCACGGCCTGGCACCGGTCCGCGGACCGGGGGTTGGGGACCACTGCTATACAGTATAGATGTAGCAATGTGTTTAATCAAACTTTTATCACAAAATAATTGTTTCTGGGGACAGACTAACAGGCAACCCCATGTATACTTGTGGTAAAATTATAAATAGTAAGAAATTAGGGATATGTGATGATAGAAAATATGAATGGTCTTCAGAAAGTACAAAATTGCCAGAGGAAATAGCTAGCTTAACCACAGACGTAAATAATTAGCATAACAGGAAAGTAACTAAAACTCCCAAGAACACATAGCATAACTACCAGGGGCTTCAGAGTGAGGAATAGAAACATTTGAACTGCAAAATAGCTGCCACAGGAAATCGCTAGTTTAGGCACAGCATGTAAATTGTGGCAAACACCTGCTATTCTGAAAAATAGATGGTTATTCTAAGAAGTAAGTTACAGTAGTAAGCAAAGTGACACGCCTTGCATATATAATCTGCTAATTATAATGCAAATGTGATGTAGCAGGTTTAGGTAGGGTCTCAGGAAACATGTAGGAGGCGGTTGGAAAAGAGTATTACCTCACAGTACCTCAGCCAATGGGCAATGAGGGTGGGATGGGCAGCCAGAGTAGGGAATGTATAAAGATGTTCATTTGAGATTATGAATTTTGGAGAGAACCAAGCTATGACAGCTTCTCTCCCCTTATTGCAATAAATGAAACGAACGGTTTTCACTGTGTCTTGGCTGGTTATTGGATTGGCAAATTTGCCATTGGTTGTAAAGGAAAGTAGCTAAGAACACATAACATCGGAATACTCCATCATTTAGGCTTAAGACATCAAACGGCTGTAATCAAAAGACGATGTAATCATATAGGTAGTTCACAGCGGAAATATTGAGATTTCGGTGTTCAATGAGCTTGCTTTTTTTCCTTGCCAACATTTAATGGCCAAACTAGGGAATATCATCAGTGCTTTGCAGGAACAACCACAGATCACACATATGGGCAAGCTAATCACAAATAGGCATATAACAATTCTGATTAAGATACTAAGTCAAACAGATCTAGATCGCAATGAATGATCTGAAAGAGGAAAACTGAGCTGAGCAAACACCAACAGCCCATTGCTGACAATTATTGCAAAAGTTCTGCACTGCTTACACTGTCTTTTGATTTGAGCCATTTGGAATCTTAAGCCTAAATATCTCAAGAATCCTTAAGATCTCTTGGGCTCAAGTCTGCACAGAATCGGGGGGGGGGGGGGGCAGGCCTAAAAACCAGGAGCCATCTCTGCTGGTGCAGTCTCACAATTCTTCGTTTTTGGTTTCCTATTGAATAGGAGCTTGCAACCATTACTTTCGCCTCTTAGAGGCACTGGAGTTGCAATTCAGGGTTTCTCTTTCTCTTTTTTTTTCTCCTCCTCAAAAACAATAGGAAGTTGATCAAAAAGTCCCTTGAGCGGGGTTCCCCACACGGGCATATTTTTCCTCCCCGGTTGTTTGAATTCTACCAATCCACGATCAACCGCAATTTCAAAGGAGCCAACATTTGGCAAGAGCTTCCGAGCAGGCCTGGAGGAAGGGACGCGCGGGTAAGGATTTTGGGGCACAAGCGTGTGGAGTCTTGCCGCAATCGTCTGAACAAAGGCTACTATGCCGAGGAGGAAGAGGATGGATCCGATGGGAGCCTTTCGCCTACGTAGGACTTCGCTAGGCGAGGAGGGCTGGCTCTTTACTGGGAATTTACTTTTTATCTGGGATTCGAGAACGATCCGAGAGTTCGATCAGGTTCGATTCCACGGGGGTAGCAACTAGACTTCCGTTACCGGAGCTTCCCAAGTAAACAGACCGTACTCGGTGTCCGTGCGCCATCCCTCCAGTTAAGACTGGGAGGTACATAATTTATCCTGCGAGCGGATTAAGAGGTGGCAGAGGTGGCCCTTGAATTGGGAGCCTACGGTGGATTCAGTTTTGGGCTCCGTCGCTCTTTTCTCGCGGGGCAGTCTGGTGCTTTTTCACCTGGCTGGCGAAATGTGGAATAAAGCAGGAAGGAAGGACCAGACCCGGAGTTCTTTACGGATTAGACGGGGATGGAGGGGTTCACTCAAAAGGCATCTCGCCTTTCCCTCTGTAACAAATGTTGGATTTGGGGAAAAGAAGTGGGAGGGGGGCGAAGAAAGAGAGTGAGAGAAGAAAGGAAAGAGAACCAAGAGAAAGGAAATTCTGGGGAAAAAAATACCCTGAGTGAGGTAGAGCAATTGCATGATAACCATTGGCTAGCAGAGTTAGATGTGCTGAAGTAGCAAAATAAACAAAATTTAAAAAAAAATAAGGTCAGGCGTAGGCCTGTTAGTCTTGCATTAGCTTGCCCCAGGGACTGCTTGGATAAGGCAACAGGAAATTGTTGATTCTCAACACAAGGATGGGTAGAACTCACAGGCTAAAGAGGTGGTTCCTATAGAACATTATAAAGTGCCAACAGATTTTGGACCCTAACTTTGAAATCTTTTATCAGAAGATGATTAAATCTGATACTTCGACAGCATCTTTTAATGACGTTTATAATCTTCACCCCAGATAAATATGAATTATACAAGTGATAGGCCTGTTTCCTTAGTGTATCTGATGGTTGTTAGTTACCTATATATTTTTATTAGAGATCTGAAGTTTAAAATGTAACATTAGTTCATGTGATGTAATCAATACACTATAGTTTCTTTTTTCCAGACAGAAGTTTTTCATACATTTTACAGTCATTTTATTCTGGAAGGTTCATGGGATATTCTAGATGTTTTTAGAAAGTATAAGACCATAACAGAGTTGGAAGGGACCTTGGAGATCTTCTAATTCAACCCCCTATGAGACCCTATACTAGAGATCTTCAAACTTGGCAGCTTTAAGACTTGTGGACTTCAACTCCCAGAATTTTCCAGTCAGCTATGACTGGAGAATTCTGGGAGTTAAAGCCCACAAGTTTTAAAGCTGCCAAGTTTGGGGACCCCTGCCCTATACCATTTCAGACCAATGGTTGTCCAATCTCTTCTTAAAAACCTCCAGTGTTGGAGCACCCATAATTTCCCAAGGCAAGACCTTCCACTAATTAATGAATGAATGAATATATATATATATATATATATGAATTATCCATCCTTCCGAGGTCGGTAAAATGAGGGCCCAGATTGTTGGGGGCAATATGCTGACTCTGTCTGTAACCCACTTAGAGAGGGCTGTAAAATACTGTGAAGCGGCATATAAGTCTAAGTGCTATTACTATTGCTATATGAATAGTTTGGAAACTGATAAGAAATGAATGTTGCATATTCTTATCGTTGCCAAGAAATATAATGTAAGTCTGGAAAGTCCCGCATTTGTGATCATATCACAGCTGTGGGTTTTAGAACAAATCCTTCCAATGACACTTTCTCTTTCTCACTTGTGTGATCTGATATTTATGTGCAGTCAGTTTCAGGAAGTAAAGTTTACGGGTTTCAATCCTTATATCTAAAGTAGTTGTTACCAAAGGGAAAGCATACCCAATTTGTGCATATGCTTCATATTTACTTTTGCTTCCTTAAAATGGTGTTAGAAACATTCTAACCCACAAGTATGGGTGGGGGAGGTGTCCTCAATTGCTGTGATTTCATCTTTTTATGGCAAGTAGAAAATAGGCCACAAAGAACTGAAAATAAGTGAATATACTGAATAGATACTCATATTTATTTAACTGGCCTGTTTTTCTTTCTTTTCATTTCTAATTGAACACTAAAGTACGTGTTTCTAGCTGGTTAATAGCTTCCAAATGTGCTCTCCATAGAGACATTTATATCTATTTTTTTTCTCTTACCTTCACACATGTGCATCCTGTATTATATATCATATTTCCACAGTAATGTTTTAAATTGCTGTTTATTGCAAACCTCTTAGAATTCAGAAGAGAATTGGTGGGATAAACATATTAAATACATAATACCAGTTGGTGAGATACAGACATTTGCACCAGGGGTAAAATGCACTTACCTTTGCTACTAGATCGAAAATGTGAGTGCACACTTGCTCGCGCACCTCTCTTCTGCACACCCACAGAGCCTTCTGCACATGCACAGAAGATCAAAAATGGGACGTGATGACGTCCTAGAAGCTGGACGGAGCCTCCCACCACTGGCCCTACTGCCTCACGCGAGCCGGATAGATCTGGCCAGGTTTCACCACTGATTTTCACTATGCAGCAGTGATTTCTGAAAACATATATTTGAATACTACCTAGAAGCCTGTATGTCCCTTTTAGGGATAGGCAGAAAATAGTTGGTAACCTGTTGATCAATTTTAAAGTAATTGACAATGGTTTCTTTTTTTCCCTCTAAATTTTTTATTATTCTACAAACATATTGTTTTGTGAACAGTGTGGGACTGGAGTGTTCTACATTTTAGTATAAATAAAACAATATTCTTCATATATAATACAATTGACAATGTTATAAACTTTTAGTAATAATACATATATTTTGTTGAATTATAATCTTCCATTTCTTAATTATTCAATAATTCAATATATTATTTTATGCCAATCTCCATATTCTTAGTATTACTCCTTTTACTACAAATAAAATACCAATAATCATATTTGTTGTGTTTAACAAACTTCTATAGATCTAATAGTAATACAAAGATTTGTATTGAATTATAATGGAAGTGATGTTGCGGTGATACCATTTGCAAAGGAACGGAGCTCTCCAAGCCTGTGCTGTCTTCTTCTTGTTTATGGGCTCTGAAAAGAGCCAAAAACTGCCTTGGAGGGGCAATGAAGCTAAGGAGGAGCGTCCTATGAGGTTCCAGGAGAGATCACAACTCTCCTGTAGAGCCCCAGGGCTTTTTCCTCTATGCCACAATGAGAGAAGAGGCAGCCTAAAATGGCTGCCACAAAGCCGGAGACAGATTAACATCCAAGAAGAGTACTGGAGCGGATTTGGTGAACAGCGTCTGGAACTGGGTGAGAACAATCCTTTTTATTTTATTTAAACTGCAACCCCAAAAGAAAATTCAGGAAAGAGAGACTGATAACTATTTTTAAAGTGGCGGCGACCCAACCACTTTGAGTAAAATTTTAGAACTTTGAAGAGAAAAGAATTAAAGGAAGAAAATAGAAAATTTGTTAAAATACAGAAGATTGGATTTTCAAATTGGACAGGAGCTGATGTTGGATAGGCATTTTAAAATGCTGGAGCTTTTTATATAAAAAACTAATACCACATTTATATTTTGGAGTATTATAGTAAAATTGGATAAGAATGATTAAGATTGAAGTCTGATTTAAGACTGCCATCTGCTGTCAAAGGAAGGTACAACATATCCCCAAATCCTGGAAAGTCTTGGCTTGTGGAAATTCAAGTGTGAGATCAAGAAAATTTTAATACTAAAAAGACCCCTAAAAGCTTTAAAATAAGACTGAATTGGCAGAGAGATTTATGAAGGTTCCACTTTTGGACTACCTAGAGGAACAGATTGATTAATTTTGGGATACAGAGACTCTTGGACATCGGATATTGAATCATTTGAGAAGTGGCTTTAGGTTTGAAAATAAGATTGTTGGACTGTTGGAGAAAAAGAAACAAAACAAATAAAAAATGAGTGAAATTTGGGAAGAAATTGCATTGTTAATCCAGGGTATTAAAGACACCTTGACAAGAAGATGTGAGGAGATTATGAATAAAATGCAGAGCGTAGATGAAAAGCTGGAAATGATGACACAAAAGACAAGGTGAAACCAGGACGCTCAGAAAGAGGAGGAGCTAACTGAAAGAGCAGCTGGAAAAACAGAACAGACAAAACAACAAGCAAAAAGACACTACAAAAAGGAGATAAAAATAAAAATAAGAATGATTGATGGAATAAACCAAGGGGAGAGCATTCTAAGAGAAATTAAGCAGGAATTGGAACTGCAGCAAAACTTTTTTGGGAGAGAAACAGGGGTAAGAGTAGATAATTTGAAACTGAGACAATGGAATAGGGTAGAGAAGGGAGAAATATTTAAGAGGATTGGCCAAGTAGTGGAAACAGCTAGAGAAGATCCAAGAGAGGAATATGGGAGACAAGCTAAGAAACAGAAAATTAAAGCTTTAAAGTGGATGAGAGATGATGGATAAGAAAGGGAACACTTTTTTATTTATTTTATTTTATTTTATTTTATTTTGAATTTGTATACCGCCCTTCTCCCTGAGGACTCAGGGCGGTGAACAGCCAAATAAAAACATCAAATACAAATATTAAAATACAGTTAAAAAATATATATAGATTTGGCCCCATTAATTAAAACAATAAACAAAACAATTAAAAAACCCTTAAAAGAATTAGGCCAGCCCGGCTTGTTGGAAAAAGAAAGTTTTAAGGGCACGGCGGAAGGCACTGAGGTCATGGATTCTCCTTATCTCAGGGGGCAACTGATTCCAGAGGGTGGGTGCCCCCACAAAGAAGGCCCTCCCCCTGGGGGGTCACCAGCCTGCATTGTTTGGCTGATGGCACTCCGAGGAGGCCCTCTCTGTGGGAGCGCACGGGTCGGTGGGAGGTCGTCGGTGGCAGTAGGCGGTCTCAAAGATAGCTAGGCCCTATGCCATGGAGCGCTTTAAAGGTGATAACCAACACCTTGAAGCGCACCCGGAAGACCACCGGGAGCCAGTGCAGTTCATGCAGGAGCGGTGTTACATGGGAGCGCCACGCTGCTCCCGTCACTACCCGCGCTGCTGCGTTCTGGACCAGTTGGAGCCTCCGGGTGCTCTTCAAGGGGAGCCCCATGTAGAGAGCGTTGCAGTAATCAAGGCAAGAGGTTACGAAGGCATGAGTGACTGTGCACAGGGAATCCCGATCAAGAAAGGGCCGCAACTGGCGGATCAGGCGAACCTGATAAAAGGTCCCCCTGGTTACAGCCGTCAGATGTTCCTCCAAGGACAGCTGCGTATCCAGGAGGACTCCCAGATTGCGAGCCCTCTCTGTGGGGGCCAAAGACTCGCCCCCAATAGTCAGTGATGGAGTCAACTGACCATATCGGGAGGCCGGGAACCACAGCCACTCAGTCTTGGAAGGGTTGAGCTTGAGCCTGTTCCTCCCCATCCAGATCCGTACAGCCTCCAGGCACTGGGACATCACTTCAAGGGCATCGTTGGGGTGGCCTGGGGTGGAGATGTACAGCTGAGTGTCATCAGCGTACTGATGGTATCTCACCCCAAAGCCACTGGGATGATCTCGCCCAGCGGCTTCACATAAATGTTGAACAGGAGAGGCGAGAGGACCGACCCCTGAAGCACTCCACATATAAGAGGCCTTGAGGTCGACCTCTGCCCCCCTGCCAACACGAACTGCGACCGGTCGGAGAGAAAGGAGGAGAACCACCGTAACACGGTGCCCCCCATCCCCAACTCTTCCAACCGGTGCAGCATGATACCATGGTCGATGGTATCAAAAGCCGCTGAGAGGTCTAACAGGACCAGAACAGAGGAGCAACCCCTGTCCCGAGCCCTCCAGAGATCATCAACCAACGCAACCAATGCCGTTTCCGTGCTGTGCCCAGGCCTGAAACCAGACTGGAATGGATCCAGATAGGATGTTTCCTCCAGGAATTGCGGAAACTGTCGCGCGACCACACTCTCAACAACCTTCGCCAGAAAGCGAAGGTTGGAGACAGGACGGTAGTTGGCCAATATTGCCGGATCCAGGGACGGCTTCTTGAGGAGAGGCCTCACCACCGCCTCTTTCAAGGCCGCGGGGAAGTGACCCTCACTCAACGAAGTGTTGATAACACCCTGGAGCCAGCCTCGTGTAACCTCCCGGGAGGCCAGTACCAACCAGGAGGGACACGGGTCCAGTAAACATGTGGCCACACTAAGTCTCCCCAAAATCCTGTCCACATCATCTTAAAATAATAGTGAGATAAATTAAATTAGGGTTGGAAGTTAGAAAAAGGGGATTAATGTAATATATATATTTAAGTTGAATTAATAAATAAGGGAACCTAGACTCTTGATGATGATAATTTTGAATATGTTTGAATAATATGGTGATGGTTATAAAAATAACATATAGAAATATTGAATAATCAAAAGATTGAAGATTATAACTTAATATAAATATGTGTATTATTAGTATAACTATATAAGTTTGTTAAAATGTGACAAATATGATTACCAACATTCTATTTGTAGTAAAAGGAATGATATGTAGAATTAGATTGGCATGAAAACAACATATTGAATTATTGAACAAGATAATAATGAAAGATTATAATTCAACAAAACATGTATTATTATTATTAGAAATATATAACTTGTCAAACATAACTAAGATTGTTTTATTTGTATTAAAATGTGATTAGAAAAGGGATATATTTTAAATATACAGTGGCATAACTAAAAATTAGAAAGGGGATAAACAATGGAAGATTATAATTCAAGACAATGGTTTCCGAGTTATCTAGTAATGTGAACAACCCCCAACTTCCTGCTTTCAAACTTGAGAGAATTTTGGGAATGGCCTTTTATATAGAGAGACTTGTGACAGTTTTGCACTGATCAAAAATATTCAATAACAAAATATTCTCTTAGATTCTCAGTTCCATATTTCTTACAGTTACTTGTCTGCCTCAGTTCATTGTTTTAGTTCAAACTTCTATTGAGCAACAATTTACAAACTAGATCTCATAAGCAGAATTTTTTTTATTTTTTTAAAGTTTTTTATTAATAATATAAAATTAAAAAAACATTGGACATAGATATGATATCACTGGTTCTAAACATCTTCTGTCACTTTACAATAATATTAGTATTCATATAAACATAGTTCTTAAGCTTTGTTCACTATTAATGAACATAATATGATATGATATTAATACTTTTCCCCTTATTTCTGTATTTATTTATCTCTTAATCATACATTTATCTTTAATAATATCTATATTTTTGTTCTAACATTATACATTTGTCTTGGCTACCCCGTTGTTATCTGTCCAATCATAAAATTGTTCCCAGATTTTGTAGTACTTAGTTTCGCTTTTATCCTTGAGATCATAAGCAGAAATTTGATTTTGTCGCATACCAGTTTTGCGGACAGGCATGTAATGAATACTGTCAAAAACATTAATGATTGCAGACATTCTGTTATCATTCTAGGCAAGCAAGACCTCTGCTTATTTTTGCAAGCAAAGGTCAAACTCACATTTACCATCTCTTATCCTTAAGTCATAATTTTTATTTCTTGCAAACTATTTGGGGGAAATATGTAGAATAAATGGCCAAATATAAATAGGTTTTAGTTCACCTTGCTGCTTGGTGTTATTTTTTTTTTTTCTATTGAAATTTTATTCTCAGATTTTATGTGCTTTAAAGAAGCTATTCAAAATATTAATCACATCAGTAAGACAGCTAGCTTCCTTGGACATACTTGCATCCTAGCACATTATTTCTAGGCTTGGACAACAAGTTACCTTAGACTAAAGATAGTAGTGAAAATCCAGCCATTACCTGGACATAAACCATTGTTTTAAGGTGTAAAAATAATAATTATTTATTTGGACATAGCATTTTATAGGAATAAAACAATTGTGGGTTTTGAACATGAATGTATGTTTCATATCCTCCCTCTGTATGTACATTTTTGTGTATGTGCATGTATTTGTTTTAAGCATCTTAAATTTCACTTATTTTTCCAGGCGCTGTACACCAGCTATGGATAACATGGAAACACTTGGTCCTCCACCCCCCTATGATGACAAGAGGTCTGGAACTGAAGGTGGGAGAACATAATCAAAACAATCAATTTACATGAAAGGGATGTTAAATGAAAATATTATAAAGGGTTAAGGGACAGGAGAAATTGTGTCTGTAATCAGGAAAACTGTAACTTAGTACTGTAAAGAGAGGGCCAAACTAGAAAAGAAGTGTTAAATGCATATTTTTATTTAGAATTGAGATGAGGGCAGTTACTGAAGTTTCAGAATACTAATATGTGGATAATAAATTATTTTAAGTAGGAGTAGATTCAGCCATTGTTGTAATTTGCATCCAGATAAATACATAAAGCACTGCTACAATCATGCCTAGGAGATCTACTATGGATCCATCCTATCACAACTACAATTGCCGTTTTGTCGCATAGATAGGCTTGATCAATGTTGAAGAGAATCTCCTCTTCTCTTAACAGATGATAGAAGTTGCGAGATGGAAGAAGGGGACTTCCGAATTGCATATTGGGTGGAAAAAAATGTTAGGCAAGCCTTCATTCGCAAGGTAAGTCTGATACCAGCCCTCTGACGTAGGCCGGAGCAGGCAATCAATTACTGAGATTGGCTGAAATAACAGAATCTTACAAATCTGATTTTCCCACTTCTTATACTCCATTGAATGGAAGAGGTGTCTGCCTGAGGCACTTTCAAATGTTAGCGCATTATTCTGGACTTAAAAAATGTTTCAGTCCCTTTTGCTTAAGCACTAGCTCCTTTTTATTTCCCTCAGGTCAGCTTCCTTATGTTCTACATATACTTATGCAAACTACAGAATAGACCTGAACAACATATGGCCCACCAAGCAGCCTTGTGTGGTCTGCTAGTATTTTTTAGTCAATAATTTTGACGAAAAGACGTGCTGCTAAGTGCCTCCAGTTCCTTGCTGCTGTCACTCTGCTAATAGCTAAACAACTGATTGACGCATCAGGTATTTCTTGGTTGAGAAAATATATGGCAGTATTAAAATGTTCCATATAATTCAGCAAAAGGCTTTCATTCTTGCATCAATTCTTGCTAACAATTCTTGTGGGAGCATCTGAATATGGTCACCCACCACTTGGTCTTTTTTTGGCATTTTGAATGCATCTCTTTTATCTTCACAAACAGGTTTACAGCATCATCACCCTTCAGTTACTACTGACTGTGGCAATTGTTGCCGTCTTCACTTTTGTGTAAGTGTTCATGGGTCCAAGATAGACAAAGTCGTGCAGGTGGACATGGGACTCAGAATGTGTGATGGGCAATGAGTGCTGATACTCCTCCAGATTCGTATCTGTCAGGCTCAAACACAGAGAGGGGCTGCATTTTTCCTCCTTTTTTGTGAGATTTTTGGTTTTCCCCTCCCCCTTTATCCTACTACTGCTTCTGATTGTATGAAAATAAATTATATTAACTCCAGGAGAGCAGAGAGAAACCTTAGCTCCTGATGCTCCAAAGCCTTCTAAAGCTTGCCATGTTATTGAAGAAGCAATGGTGATAGCAATAGCAATAGCACTTCGACTTATATACCGCCACACAGTGATTTTACAGCCCTCTTTAAGTGGTTTACAGAGTCAGCATATTTCCTCGAACAATTTGGGCCCTCATTTTACCCACTTTGGAAGGATGGAAGGCTGAGTCAGCCTTGAGCCTTGGTGAGATTTGATCTGCTAAATTGCAGGCAGTCAGCAGAAGTAGCCTGAAGTACTGCATTCTAACCACTGTGCCACTGCGGCTCATCATTGTATGATGCTTCAGGTGACAGACTTCCCTCTCTATTTTTGGAGAATATTTATATTTTTTAGATACCCCCAAAGCCTATTATTTCTGAAATGTTCTAAAGATAGGGATTAGAATTTATTTCTTTGCTTTTCTTTGGGTTTTTTTTAATCCCACCTTTATTGTTTTTATAAATAACTCAAGGTAGCAAACATACCTAATGCCCCTTCTTCTTCCTATTTTCCTTATAACAACAAGCCAGTGAGATGGGTTGGTCTGAGAGAGAAGGACTGGCCCAAGGTCACCCATAAGGCTTACATGCCTAAAGCAGGACCCATTAGGCTTACATGCCTAAACCTCTATGGATTAGTAGAGTTATTGGTATGTAGAGTGCATTCAAGCAGCAGTGAAGAAATGTATTTCCCTTTGGCTCCTTTTTGTTCATATACGAGAAGCCTATAGACGTGCAAAAATTTTGGCAAACTTGATAAGGAAATATCTATTTGGTTGAAGGCATCTTCTTTGCATTAGGTATATGTTTCAGTAATTGCATACCAAAATACATAGTGAATACAAGCTAATCAGCAGCTAGATACAAGCCAAGCTCTGGGTGTTGATGGGTAAGTATTAATGTTCTTGACCACAAAAGAGAAAATGAAACTGTAAAATAATCTTAATGGAATTTTAGGCTAACTTAGGTCAAAAGTGGTTGATAGTCCAGTAATACTTTATCTCATGTCATTTTTCTCCACAGGACTCCTGTGAACACTTACGTGATCAATCACATTGCAATCTATTATGCATCTTAGTAAGTATTAGTCGAAATGCCACTGGTGATCTATTGCTTTGCTGTAATCTTCCCTAGTGCCTTTTAGATATATTGATAATACAGTCGAAGAACTCCAAGCCATAATGGAAAGCACAGGTTGTCCTCGAATTATGACTGTTCATTCAGCAACGGTTTGAAATTATAATGGTGGTGAACACAGGGACTTGTAACTTTCCACGTGAATTTACAGCCATTGCAGCAGCCTTGCAGTCATATGATTGTGATCTGGATTCTTGACAACCTATTTGCACTTAAAATGGGTTGCCAAGTCCTCCATGATCATGTACTCGCCATTTGCAATTTTCCCTGCTGACTTCTTCAGAAATCAGCAGGGAAGATGGCAAGCTTCCACCACAGGACTCCTTTTGGTTTCTGGGGGCTGACTGGAAAAGGTCCATCAGGATCCTTCAGGATCTTTTTTCAGTGAACCTCTTGGAGAGAGGAAGGGCTTTCTGCCAGATTGATTTCACTCCATGTGAGTGCGGAGTGTCTCTGCAAAGCAGCTCTTCCACTCTCAAAGAAAATGACTGGAATCGTTCATGGTGAAAGCATTAGCAATAGCACGTAGATTTATATACCACTTCATACTGCTTTACAGCCCCTTTCTAAGCAGTTTATAGAATCAGCATATTGCCCCTAGCAATCTGGGTCCTCATTTTACCAACCGCGGAAGGATGGAAGGCTTAGTCAATCTTGAGCCAGTCAGAATTGAACTGTTGGCAGAATTAGCCTGCAGTACTGCATTCTAACCACTGTGCCACCACGGCCAAGAAGAATTTTAGCCTGGGATGCTTGTAGGGAGGCTAGCTGCAAACACCTCATGCTTCAAGACTCCCATGTTAAAATCCCTCTTGACTTTCACCATGGACTTTTGCAGCCAGAATTTTTGAGAATGACGACTGCCTGTCAGATGGATTTTGTTTATCCAGTTCAATGCAAGAATTCCCTTCTCTGCATGAAGGGGACCCGCCTCCCTCTTTTGGCAGACAGCTTTTTCCCTCACTGTTTAACAAGCCACACAGTCGCTTAATGATTGCACCTGGGAGAGCCAGGATAGCAGTCATTGAGCTAAACGATCATGTGGGGTACCTTGCTTAATGACTCCCATGACTTATAGCTGCAACGGGCATGCTCTATTATAGTTGTAAGACAAGAACTTCCTGTACCATAATGAATACTTGACAAGTTGTATCCTTTAAGATTCTCTGCTCTACTCTGACTTCCATCACCACTGACTACTAAGTACATTTGATATCACTTTTCAGAGGAGGTATGTCCTATCTTCTAAACTTGGCATAGTCTCATAAAACCTCTGATAAAGCTTTAATATACATATTTAATTATATGGCTTAATGACTTTCATTGAAAAAAAAGTTTACTAAATGTAGGAGGGTAGCTTGCTGTTTAGACTTGTTGCCTTTCAGTTTGCAATAATTTGTCTTTTCTACTTTCCCAGTGTTTTATTTTTGATCTGTTACCTGGTGCTGGTGTTTTGTCAAAAGATCCAGTAAGTACTTCCCACAGATAACATCTGTGATTTTATGGTGCATCACATTCAAAATTTGCTGGGAATTTTAGAATGAAGGATAGAGAAGTGGTTAGAGGATTGGCATTCCAAGGCTGTAGAAATACAGCCTTGATAGATGATTGATGCCATTTTTTTTTTGCCCTGCAATAGAAACAGGAGATGTAAAAATGAGGCCTGGATGAGGCACTTCTCTTATTTGGAAATAATGGATGTGCACATACAGCAATCATGTTCATAGGTTTAGGATTGTTGCAGCTAAAAGATAAATTTGCATGAACAGCAGAATAACAAGAATAGAAGAGCTTAAGAGTAGGTAAGCAATGAAAAATACAGGTACAGTAGTCCTCGATTTACAACCACAATTGACCCCATAATTTATGTTGCTAAGTGAGAAATTTGTTAAATGAATTCTGCCCCATTTTACAACTTTTCTTGCTACGTTTTTCAAGTGAATCGCTGCAGTTGTTAAATTAGTAACGTTGTTAAGTGAATCTGGCTTCCCTATTGATTTTGCTTGCCAGAAGGTCCCAAAAGATGATCACATGGACCCAGGACAGTGCAACTCCCATAAATATAAGCCAATTGTCAAGCACCGAATCCAAATCATGTGACCATGGGGATGCTGCAACAGTCATAAGTGTGAAAAAAGGTCGTAAGTCACTTTTTTTCAGTGCTGTTGTAACTTTGAATGCTGTAAGTTGAGGACTACCTGCAATGCAAATTTTGTCTATCCGATGGTTATACAGTAGTATTGCAGCGAAAGTACACTGTCACAAGCCAGGAATCTGAAAGACCTTAGGGGAAAAAAAGTGTTTTCAGAGGAACTGTAATGTAAAATAGCTTTCTATCATAAGAAAGCACCTATATAATCCTTTTGAAGCTTTCTTTAAATTCTATGTTTCCCTGAAAATACGACCTACCTAGAAAATAAGCCCTAGCCTGGTTTTTACATGTGCGTCTAATTTAAGCCGTACCTCAAAAACAAGCCCTAGTGAAGGAGGTAGGCGTGCTCAGCATAGGAGGTAGCAAGTGCGTGCAGGCCAACAGTGTCTGGCAGCAACCGCAGCCTGTGCAGCACAGGTGAGGAGTACCTGTGCAAGTAGCATGCAGAAGCAGAGGTGGGGAAGAAGGCAGGTGATCCAGATGCACCGTGCGGGCTGCAGGAAAGCCGAGTAGTGATGGGCCAGAGTGTCGGGCAGCTGTGAGAGGCTCATCTTCACGTCTCTCGGCTTGCCTGCAGCCTGTGTGGCGCGTTGGAATCGCCTGCTTTATACTCCATGGATTGGGATTGTCTGCCTTCCATTCTGTGCCTTCCGCTCTGCACAGCCCCAGAGTGCGCGGGCCAAGGGAGCAGCAAGCTGCAGCTGCTGCCAGATACTGTTGGTCCAGGCGTGCTTGCCGGCTCTTGTGTGTGCACCAGGGGGGTGGGGCACCCAGCTGGGCTGATCACCCTGAAATCGTGTTTCCCTGAAAATAAGCCCTAGTGCTTACTTACTAAAAAATAAAACTGGGTCTTATTTTCAGGAGAACATGGTACATCCCTTCATCAAAAGGTATTCATTATTGGCTTTCTTGATGATGGGACCCAAGTTGCTAACTTTCTCTACATTATAAATTAGATTTATAGCTTCCTTAGTAGGGAAGCTATTAACCTTTTTTTCTAGATGGCTAATTTCCAAATAGATCAAGGCGGCAAACATATCCAGCACACCTTCCTTATGCTATTGTCCCACAACAATAACCCTGTTAAAGTCAGGATGCAGAAGGTTAAAGGTTTCAAGCTACAGTGGCTTTGCTTAGGAATGATGAAGCTAGAAATCAAAATGCAGCTTTTTAAAATCTTGGTTTGGAAGCTTCCTGTTCTTAAATAACTTATTAATTTTGCTCTTAAAAAGCTTCAAATAGAATTGTCCTAGAAATAAATAGAATATAAATATAAATAGAATATAGAAATAAATATATTTCTATAAATATATTTCTATATATAAATATTTATAGAAATATTATATAAATAGAATAGAAATAGAATATAAATAGAATATACTTTTTTCTTAAAGTGGGATCATTTGTATGGGCACTGACTAATTATCTGGTCTTTTTTAGGAGACGATTTCCATGGAACATAATCCTTACGACAATTTTTGTAAGTAGTAGATTGATGTTAGAGGTTGGGCTAAATTTAGTAGATGTGATATCCCTAACATGGGGAAACCTGAAATGTTGGCAAAAGAGCCTAGGATAGACATAAAAGAGTGTAATATATTTGCATTATTACAAAATCTTCAAGTAAAAATTAATTGCAGATTATTAAAACACTTGGCAATGAAAATTATTTCATTGCCTCCAAACTACAAATGTTTCCTTACGTTCAGATAGATTATCTAAACAGTATATCTTTCCCTTTTAAACAAATACATTTACAAAGTTTGAGGGGAAAAATGGCACAATCTAATGCTAACAATTTGGAATTGGGCTAAAATGGAACACCTAGGCCATTAACCAGTGCAAATTTTAGAAATCATCTAATACCTCTACTGAAAGATCAGCCTTAATTGTCAGTTGCTAACTGCACAATTTAAGGTATTAACATTAATGGCTTATGACCTAATTAACAATGACCACTTCTCTCATTATGAACTTCTCCAATTGTTAATGTCTCTATTTGGACCCATGAAAGAGTGTTTCACTTGAGCTTCTTCCAGATTATGAAACTTGGTGGCAGTATGTTCTGCTTCTTTGGTCGTTGGATATTTTTTTTTTATGGTTTTCTAAGGAAAGCGTAAGTTATGGCTTTCATTTTGGACTTGTTTGTGATCCAGAGTAAAATACATGGGAAAATCCCATTGCCAGTGAAAATGAAATTAGGGTTAGGGTTAGGGTTAGGGTTAGGGTTAGGGTTAGACATCATAGCCGAAAATGAAGCCTAGGGATAGATTAATCATGGTTTTCTAAGAAAAGCATTAGTTATGGTTTTCATTTTGGTCCAAGGTAAAATACATGGGGAAATGTCAGTGCCAATGAAAATGTGATTAGGGTTAGGGTTAGATCTATTTGTTGTCATGGCCGAAAACTAATGCTAAGAGTAGATTCTTAATGGTTTTCTAATGAAAGTGTCATTTATGGCTTTCATTTTGGACTTGTTTATGGTCTAGAGTAAAATAATGGGAAAATCCCGTTGCCAATGAAAATGAAATTAGAGTTAGGGTTAGGTCTGCTTGGTGTCATGGCCAAAAACTAATGCTAGAGATAGATTCTTAGTGGTTTCCTAAGGAAAGTATCAGTCACAACTTTTATTTCAGATTTGTTTGTGGTCCAGAATAAAATACATGGTAAAACTCCATTGCCATTTCAAATGAAACTAGAAGTAGGGTAGGGTTAGGGTTAGATCTGCTTGGAGTCATGACAGAAAACTAATGCTAGGGATACATTCTTTGCGCTTTTCTAGGGAAACTGTTACAGCTTTTCTTTCAGACTTATTTGTGGTCCACAGAAAAATACGTGGGAAAATCTTATTGCCATTAAAAATGAAACTAGGGTTAGTGTTAGGGTTGGAGTTAGGTTTAGAGTTAGGTCTACTTGGAGTTATCGCTGAAAAATAATGCTAGGGATAGATTTAAGAATGTTTCTTAGTAAAGATCTGAGCCTTGATGGTGCAGTGGTTAAAGTGCAGTACTGCAGGCTACTTCTGCTGACCGCTGGCTGCCTGCAATTTGGCAATTCAAATCTCACCAGGCTCAAGGTTGACTCAGCCTTCCATCCTTCCGAGGTCGGTAAAATGAGGACCCAAATTGTTGGGGGCAATATGCTGACTTTGTAAACCACTTAGAGGGCTGTAAAGCACTATAAAGCAGCATATCTAAGTGCTATTACTATTGCTAGTAAATTGATATTTGCACATGTAAAACAGGCAGCCAGTCTTTCAGTGTTTTTTGTCCACACAGAATTAAACAGAATCTCTAAATTAATGATTCAGATGTCATAAGTGTTATATTCATTCCACTTTTTGGTTACCATTCCTTCAGCAAAGGTAGTGAGTTCATCTTATATTTTTCAAAACGGGAAACCAGGCTTAATAGCAGTGACTGTGAGAGGGATCTTGCAGTCTTAGTGGACAATCAGCTAAATATGAACCAGCAGTGGCAGCTAAAAAAGCCAATACAATCCTAAATAACAGAGGGATATAATCAAGATCAAATGAGGTACTAATACCACTCTATAAAGCCCTAGTAAAACCACACCTAGAGTACTGTATCCAGTTTTGGTCACCACACGATAAAAAAGATGTTGAGGCTCTAGAAAAAGTGCAGAGGAGAGCAACCAGGATGATTAGGGGACTGGAGACTAAAACATATGAAGAACCGTTACATGAACTGGGTATGGCTAGTCTAGTGAAGAGAAGGAGGGGGTCAACCTATTTTCCAAAGCACCTGAAGGCCAGACAAGGAATAATGGATGGAAACTAACCAAGGAGAGATTCAACCTAGAAATGAGGAGGAACTTTCTGACAGTGAGAATAATCAACCAATGGAACAGCTTGCCTTCGGAAGTGGTGGAAGCTTCATCACTTGAGACTTTCAAGAAAAGATTGGACTGCCATTTGTCAGAAATGGTGTAGGGTCTCCTGCTTGAACAGGGGGTTGGACTAGATGACCTATAAGGTCCCTTCCAACTCTGTTAATCTGTTAAAAGTGTTTAATTTTGTATTATTCACTTCACCAGCACAGTATTTTGAATGATAGTTGTTTAATCTTTGGCTATATAGTAGTGATATTTTTAAAATTATGAAGTGAAATACATTGATGTGGAATTTGCTCTTATTATTTCTGTCTGTATGGCAGCTCAATTTTTAGGGAATGTATTTGATTAAGCAATCTGCATTTTTAAGAGGACTGTTTATTCTTGCCTCAGATGATACAATGGCAATTCACTAAAAATGCTTAAATCTAGGTTTGCTTGTTAATTTATGTATGTTCACTTCTGAATGGGGAGGGAAAAATTGCAATGGAATAATAGATATAGCCAATATTGTACTATGTACATAAAGCTTTGTTAATTTTCTTTTCTGTTTTGCTTTTTTCCCCTAGACACTGTCTTTGGGATTTATGACAGGCACCATTGCTAGGTACTGTACATGGGAGTAAATGAGAGTGATAAGTGTACAATGGGGATAAACAAACTGGATTTTCTCAAAAGATAAGGGCAAAGTGTTGAATAATTATTACTAGAAAATGGATAATAGCCATAGTCTTGACAAATAAAGCGTCTTATTTCCTTAAAAGTACCAACAAGCTCTTTTTTCCATTTTTGGTTATAAATACATCCTTGCCATCAGTTATTGGGCATTGTGTTAAGAGATGTTATAATAGTTTTGTCATTGGCTGTTGGATGGCAAAGGCCTCTTTAAATATAAAAATAAACCAGATTTCCCTCCTGTGTAAGATTTCATACTAAAAACATTGTAGAATTTGTATCTGGAAACATTCTGAAGAAAGATTGAACGACTTTATTTAAGAACCTGTTGTGAACGTTTTAAAATAACTGTTGAAAAATAGCACAGTAACATTTCTGGAAAAGTTCTGCCTTAAGTTGAGTAACATGTTTCTTAGTAAGGTGAGATTCAAATGAGTCGTGTGATGCATGAGAATATCTTGGAAGATTCTTCAGAAAGTATAGTGTCTTAGATTGATGTGAAGAATATTCAGGTCATCTGTTTATCCCACAATAATACCACTAATTGATACAAATTGGCAGTGTTTATTTTTAAGAATTATACTGGCCTGGATTGAGAATATCTGAGTTCTCTTATACCAGTTTTGCAGTCAGTCAGAGAGGCCTTTCTCGACATCCATTGAAGATTGCAAATAGAAGTTTGGATATCCTCATTACGATCACTTTCTGCGTGGCTTATAAGAATTTTCATAATCTTTGTGAAACTTATATACCGTAATAATAAAATTGATTAATGATATCATAAAGGCATTTTTTTAACATTCTTTTTTGCAGCATGCATGAGACCAAAGCTGTAATCCTTGCCATGATCATCACTACAGTTATAACAATCACTGTCACTGCTTTCTCTTTCCAAACAAAGGTGAGCTGTCTTTGTCATTTTGATATAGTGAAGAGGAGCAAATGGGATAGTCAAGAATGAGTAAAGTAAGAGAGATAATCAAGAATGAATTGGTGCAGGATACTGTACAAAAGTGAGTGGCTAGTATGAAAGAAGTACCCTGAGAATATTTAATTATGTCACGAGGACTAATGAAAATCAAATTACAAAACAAGCATATGAAGAAAGAATGTGGGTTGAGAGGAAGAGGAAAGCCAAAGGGGTCATGCATGATTGGATGGAGTTGAAAAGATCCTGAAAGAGAGGCAAGAAGTTTTAAGGAACAAGAGAAAGTGTGTAAAGCAGTATGTGAACATGTTGGAAGCAAGGATGGTTGCAAGGATGGAAAATGTGAAGAAGTAGTGCATGGTGCTAGTACAAGCTAGATCAACTTACATTTGATTTTTTTTCTTTTTTTCTCATGCCATGCCTTTAATTTCTGTGACTCATTTCTTACTCATTTTGCATTTATTGGCTACCATATGTATGTACTGTATGTATGTACCCGTGTTTCCCCAAAAATAAGACCCTGTTTTATATTTTTTTGAACCCTGAAAGAAGCGCTATTTTCAGGGTGGTCTTATTATTTTGGGGCGCATGGAGCAAGATGGAGCTCCTCTTGCCATCTTACCTGATTTCCAGCTCTGTGTTTAAATATTTTCAGGGAGGGACTATTTTCAAGGGGAGGCTTATTTTAGCGCATGCTAAAATAATAAAATAATAATAAGCGATTGGGATTATTATCAGGGGATGTCTTATTTTCAGAGAAACAGGGTATGTATGTATGTATGTATGTGTAGAGCAATAAAATGGTGTCACTTATGCTATAATGTATCATTTTCATTGACAGGTGGATCTCACAACCTGGACTGGGTTTTTTTGTATACTGGCAATTGTCCTTTTTGTGACTTCTATCACTACTACTATTGTCCTGATACACAAATATGTAAGTGGCTGGAATGGATGACTGGCTTTCAAGTGTGTGCATTAATTAATATTTACATGTGTTTAGATTTGGAACATATCTGCTTTAATTGGGAAGCTATGACATATAATAAATGCCTCCATTTTTTCCCCTTCGCTTGATTGAGGCGTTTTGAAATTGAGCTGTGGCCGTAACAAATCCCTTCTATTCATGCGGTGTTGTCCCTTAATAATGTCAATGGAGTTCTCACTGACTGCTTAAACTTCCTCTTGCAGAGACCTGTAATTAACTGGATCTTACTTGTCTTCTTCAGATCTATTGGGTCCATATGCTTTATTCAGCCATTTGTGCCATCATCTTTACCCTGGTTAGTAAAAAAATACTTTATTGCCCCGAGATGCTTTTTATGAAAATAATAGGTGTACAGCACTTTGAACGCTCTTATGTGCTATGCAAAATAAGATTATATAGTAGTCCTCGACTTATGACCACAATTGAGTCCAAAATTTATATTGCTAAGCAAGACATTTGTTAAATGAATTTTGCCCCATTGACAGTTGTCAAATGAATCAGTGCAGTTGTTAAGTAACCCGGTTGTTAAGTGAAACAGGCTTCTCCATTGACTTTGCTTGTCAGAAGGTTGTAAAAGGTGATCACATGACCTCCCGGGACACAGCAACTGTCACAAATATGAGTCAGTTGCCAAACGTCCAAATCTTGATTGCATGATCATGGGGATACTGCAATGGTTGTAAGTGTGAAAAACTTACAAAAGTCACTTTTTCCAATGCCATTGTAACTTCGAATGGTCACTAAGCAAACTGTTATAAGTCGAGGACTCCCTGCACCTGGGTAAAACAACTCAGTAGCTCATTTTGTAACTGGAAATGATTCATCAGAGGCAGCATTTCACTGACCTGTCGTAAATAATAATATGAAATGCATAAAGACACATGAAATTGAAAAAAATGCCAGAAGTATTTGAACTTTAGCCATTCAAACAAAATATCAAGATTTGTTTGTTAACCCCAAATTATATCTAATAATGTTGAGCTTTGATATGTCCCAATAAAAGGAAATCGACAATATATATTATTACCAAGTGGGGCATTTGCTATAATTTGTAAATTATTTGATGTGATGAAATCACTTCTTTGAGCACTTCCAATTAAAATATGGACAGTGATTAAAAAATGCATCATTAAGAAGCATCTCCATCCTTGACGTGGATTATAGGATTAGTAGACACTTCTAATTTGTATGTATGTTTCCTGTGTGTGTACCACTTTGGTACATTAAAAATTTACTGCATTAAATTAAAAAAAAGATCTGAAATTTTGAAATGAAGCTAAGGAATTCAACAAAGAGTATATTGATAGGATTACAAAAAACAGTATTGATCAACACATTAAATGAAAATTAAGGAACTGATGAAGGGTGCATGGCAAGAAATGACTGATGGGACACTTGCATCTTTAGAGGTAATTTTTTTTAAAACTATGAGACTAATTGCTTCTTTTTGATTTCCTACAGTTCCTTGCATATGATACCCAGTTGCTCTTGGGGAATAAGAGGTTTTCCATCAGTCCTGAAGATTACGTTTATGGAGCAATTCAAATCTACGTAGATGTCATCTACATCTTCCTTTCTTTTTTAAGACTTGGGAGCAGACGTTAGGGATTTTTTTATATGGCAACTTAAGGAACATGTTGTTTTCAGAATATTAGTATCTTTGCCTTCCCCCATATGAATCTGTTTTTGAATATTATCATATACACATACTTACAAATTTCCGGATTGTTCTTATTTTACTATACTGTGTGAAAGCTTTGTATATTTTAAGGAAACTCATTTATTAAGTACATGGGCTGAACCCAAAGTTCAATAAACTTAAGTCCCCTGAAATAATTAGTACACTGTCAAAGTGAATATATGTCCTATGAGATTCATTTGGATTTAATAAGTTTTCCTGCATCAGCATCCATGCCAAAGCTCTTATCTGCAACTATTAAAATTAATTCTTCAGTTAACATAAAAGAATACAACTAGTACATTAATGTAGCATACAGCATATAGCCAGAACATTACTATTTTTCTTTCATAGTACATCTACATTGTACATCTAAATCTACAGGTATTATATTCATAGGAGGCTTTGTCTAGCCGTTATCTTATTAGAATTCTTAAATTAGACCAGAGGTTCCTGTAGGGGTCACCAAACTTGGTAACTCTTAAAACTTGTGAACTCCAACTCCCAGAATTTCTCATTCCCATGCTGGCTAGGGAATTCTGGGACTTGAAGTCCACAAGTCTTAAAGTTGCCAAGTTTGGAAACTTCTGCTCCAGGCCAAGATTCTGTTTTACACAGAGGATTCTTGGATGCTGTTACCTGTAAGAATCTCAAAGAGACCTGGCTGCTGTTGTTTTTCAGTGGTCTGACTCCCAATAAGGAAGGGATGAATCCTCTAGTAACATACCTTCTACCCTGCACTTCCTAGTTACTGTACACTATAGAAACATCCGAGAGAGATGTTGAAGATTCAGAAAGTTCTGGGTTGAGATCTCCAGTCTTCCAGCTTACAGGCTGTCATTTCTTATATTGGTATTACAGATAAATTGTATAATATGTTTTTTTATATCTAATGCTGGCATTTTTATTCATAATTCCTTTATTAATGATTGCCACAATGAAATAGATGATGGCAGGAGTAACCTCCGAGACAGACAATGTGAAGATCCAGAGGGTTCTTCTGGGTTGAGACCTCCAGTTTTCCAGCTTGGAGGCTGTCATTTGTTATATTAGTGTTACAAATAAATTGTATAATATGTTTTTTCTTATATAATATTGGCATTTTTATTTGCAATTCCTTTATTAATGTTTGCCACAATGAAACCTGACTTTTTCAAGCTGCTACTTAAAAAAAAAAGAGCAGGATAGCTATGGTAATTCAGGAAAAGGAAGGGATCAAATGGATAAATAACTATACAGTTGGCATTCTTCTATCATTGTACTTTCTCCCCCTTCCCCCACCCGACTAATTTTACAAGAAACCATTAAGTTGCAAACCACCTTAGATCTATTTGTGAAAGTGCAATTCAGTTGTTTGATTTTTAACATGTATTGGCCTGAGAAGTTACATATTAGTTGTGAAGTGGGAGGTGCTGATTGCTTTTATATTACAAATATCCAACTAAGAATAATACATTTTAAATGAAATTTAAGAGTATTGATGTTTTGGGGGGAGAGGGGGGAGGGAGATATGTCCTACTAATGAGAATAAAATCCATGTTCAAATAATGGGAAGATTTTGGATATTTGCATAAAACTATGTTATTTATTTCCTATAATGATACTCCTGCAGGTCCAGAGAAAGCAGGGTCTGGACCATAATGTTCAGAACAGATCTATTTCTGGAGGATTACATCTGTTGATAGCCCTTTTAAAATCTGCACATTTATCCTTAGGCATTTCCACACAAACAGTGGTAAAGACAAAACAGGGCAAATGTCAGTTCCCAGATTAATTAAAATTCACCCATGAACACTGATCTGTGTCATAAAAATTCTTTCCCATTATTATCATTTGGGGGAAAGCAGGCAAAGAAAATTTGCAACAGGAAGAACAAATAATTGAATCTTTCAAAAGTTTTGAAAAAGAAGCCTTAGTGGTCTCATTTGCAGTCAGTTGTTTTTCTTGTGTAATATCTAAGCATGGTTTATGGAACTGACTAAAGTGACATTGCTCCTTTTGTCTTGCGTCATAGGACGTGTTACCATTATACTACGAATTGAAAGCTGTGAATTCAGTTGGGCCAATGTTGCATTATGATGAAATAAATGAACATAAAACTTCTGTAGAAAGCAGAGAGTTTAATGAGATGTAAAAACAGTAGTAACGATTTGTCAGCAATTACTGCAAACAGAATTTTCTTCTAACAATGTACTGTTCAATTTGATACATTAAAAAGGACCCTATAATTTTATCACTATTTTTAGGATCCTAAGACTAGGCTAAAACCTGCATGTAAAATCTGGGTGTTTAGCTTGCCTAACTATTGGAATAGAATCAATTAGCTTGCCAATCACTCAAAACTACAAGTTTGCTTGGATTCTTCCAAAGTATCTGTAATAAACTAACCTGCACTTTTAAAATTTTCAAATATTTTAATGAGTTCAATATTTCACATAAAGTTTGGTAAGATAGAATGGTGTGATCTGGTTTCACTTGCTAGCCCCAATATGAATTGATGTAACTGAAAGAATACACAATTATTCAGAAAACGTTGCTCACAAAGTAGAAAAAATAAAGTACAAACGGCTTTGTTGAGTTCTCATGACCCACATTATCACAACTCCTGTGATTTCATCTTCAGTTACCCAGATTTAGCATGAAGTCCCTTTGACGCAAGAAAATCATAATACACTTAAAGCAGGCCACTGCTTCTTGCTTGAGATACCTTTAATATTAAGGATTATTGTGGTAATCTCGATAATTTATTGATAACTTTGATCCATAGAAATGCAGACTGAGAAATCAGAAATGCTCTGCAGCACAGCACTATGCTCCAATCAAGTATTAGAATCTGAGAATCTGAAGGTAGTAACTTAATGATTGAAGTATACAGTTCAACTGGTCTTAGCGTCTAGATGCTTTCCTGTTCTTTGTGTCAAACTATCTTCTTTATTGGCTGCCATCATCTGTCGGCGAGCTTTCATCTGTTTCACACGTTTCTTTTCCACTTGACTCTTAGCAAGGAAGAAAAGGGCAAATGCAGAGGGCAAACCAATGACCCTAAGGAGATTAAAACAAGCTAAAATCACCTGGGATTTAGGCTGGAAAAGACATGGGGCTCCAAAGAGACAACTAACTCCTCCCCTTGCACTAAGTAAAAAGATGGAATTGTATTTAGTTTTCCAGTTATTCAATACAAGTTAAGGAATTTGTGGGAAATATAAGGAGTACAATTTTATAGTGGGAAGATGTAGGACCTCAGCAAGGTGATTTTTGGCCAGTCGCTATCTCAACAGAATTGGTTCTGAAGATAAACATACTTACCATCCTTGGTTTCCAAAAGGAAAAGATACAAAGATAATTCTTTTTGCTAAGGACTAAGGATCTTTTTTTTTTAATGAAGAAAAGATTTCAGAGTAGAATGGGAAAACAAAGCTGTTTCCATTCCTACTCTAGGAAGCTCCAAAAGGACAAATTTCCACTGTTAAAATTCTCCAAGATTTTAATAGTGTTTCTTCAGTGTCAAAATGGCCAAATTTTGATAAACAAAAGTTGGGCCATTGCAGGAGATTTAAAGGGTGAGAATTATAGGGATTTGCTTCCTTACCCCATTAAAAAAAAGGTAAAAATAAGCCACTACAAATCAGTCATTTTGTCATTTAATTCTGCCAACACAGCCTCAGAATGTGAGGCCTCAGCCCCCGATTCTTTGGATCACAGAATGATAAAAGCAATGCTCACCAAGCAATAGCAACGGGGTTTGGAGAGGTCTTGAACCTTCTTGGGGCCATATATTCTACATGTCTATATGTTTGTTCACCAGGCTGTGCTTTCTTCTGCATTTCTTCCAAACATCTTCGGCTACTGTGAAAAGATTGAATGTCCATTCGAAAAGGCACCATTATGCATGGTGACAGTTTCAATGTGGCAGGAAGGAAGGCTGTAAAGGAAACAAAAATAAAAATAAAAATAAAAATGCTAAGATGTGGAAAACGACATTAAACCTGCTATGCACAGTGGTTAAAATGCAGTAATCTGGGCAAACTCTGCCCCCAGCCTGGAGTTCAATACTGACAGGCTCGAGGTTGATTCAGCCTTCCATCCTAAGGTTGGTAAAATGAGCCAGATTGTTGGGGGCAATCGACAAATGATGCTTGTACATTGTAAATCACCCAGAGTGCTGTAAAGTACTATGGGGGCAGTATATAAGCCTAAATGCTATCATTATTCTTTTCTTATATTAGTAGCCCAAAAGCCTTGTTTTGCTCACCTACTTATTTTGCCTGAAAGCCCACAAAGAAAAATGTCTCACCATAAGCATTTCCAGATTTTGAAAAACAAGCCTCATATTTTACATATGGAACAGTTATAGGATGTTCCAATAGAAATTTATGTTTTTAGCTCAGGGTTGAACTGTGGAGTTCTTGGTATGCTCTGAGATTGTTTGAGCTTGGAAGACATTTCATAAATCAAGTAGGTAATATCAGTGCAAATGAGGGGGGGGGCTTGCCCTGCAGTTTTCATAAGATGTACTTCCCTCCTAGTTGGTTTCTTCGATTGGTGTATTGCCTTCTTCTGATTGTCTGGTGCTGATCCCTGCTTATCTGAATGTGGGCTGCTGAAGGAGATGTGTTCTAGTCTTTTTGTTTATCCTTCCTCAGCTTTTTATTGTCTGTTTTGAATGGTGTGTAAATATGGTTTCTGTAAATAAACCAAGCTTAGAACACCAAGAATTTCACAATTATAGCATGGTCATAATTGGACCACTGTAGTGGCACATTAAACAGCATTAAACTATGGCTGCAGAATATCCATCATACCATTAAATCAGCCATGTGCAACTTATGGCCTAGATAACTAGTAATGTAGATAGCTAGTAATGTATTCCCACAAGGTAGTAAATATATAAAAAAAAGTTTGTTATTTATATACATCAACTTGGTTATGTATTTTATATGCGGCCCAAGACAATTCCTTTTCACAGCCCATGCAAGTCAAAAGGTTGGACTCCCATGTTCTAAGTCATGGCTTGCTTAAACCCATGATAAAAGAACCGTGGTGGTGCAGTGGTTAGAATACAGTGGTGCAGGCTACTTCTGCTGCCTGCCGGCTGCCTGCAATTTGGCAGTTCAAATCTCACCAGGCTCAAGGTTGACTCAGCCTTCCATCCTTCCGAGGTCAGTAAAAGGAGGACCCAGATTGTTGGGGGCACTATGCTGACTCTGTAAAACCACTTAGAGAGGGCTGTAAAGCCCTGTGAAGCGGTATATAAGTCTAAATGCTATTGCTATTGCTATAAACTCAAATGGGCTGGATGCACATGACAATCTAAGGCTGAGCCATAATCCCCATTTTCCAAACCTCAGTACCTGGCATCTGGGCTCTCCTTCACACATATAAAATACAGAAAGCCAAAGCTGCCACATTATTTGAACAAATCACTCTCTCTCTCAGCTATTCTACCTCCAGGGTAGAAAATATGAACAAAGCCTTCTTTCTTTCTGAAAAGCAATCAAAATTAGTAAGCAAGCGGGGAAGGTCTCTCTTTCACCTGCAGAGAGCCCTGGAGATGACCTTGGATAAACTATTCTTGAGATTTTACAACATGTGCAAAAACATGCTTCGAGCCTGAGAAACAGAGAAAGTTAAGAGGAAGAGATGTGGACTGATTCTGCCCTGATTCTCTGGGAAATAAAAGAGGGAAGAAAGGACGGAAAAATAACAGCCAGACTTCTCAGGAATCTACCTGTTCCTCTATAGCAGGGGTCCCCAAACTTGGCAGCTTTAAGACTTGTGGACTTCAACTCCCAGAATTGCTGGGAGTTGCTATGCTGGCTGGAGAATTGCTATGCTGGCTGGAGAATTCTGGGAATTGAAGTCCACAAGTCTTAAAAGCTGCCAAGTTTGAAGACCTCTGCTCTATAGCCTATATTAATAAATATAGTTCCGGTCAATTTTGCAGAATCTGTTCCAGATCACACTCCCCTCTCAAGAAACAATGAAACCTTTCCCTTAAGCTCGCCCGAGCCAACCTCCCTTCTTTCCGCCACAGGGACGCCCAAAGGTCGCGCCTTTCCTACCGAGCTTCCGAAAGCAAAGCGATGCCATCTT